GGGTTTTGCAGCACGAGGACACGGCAGCTGAGAGGAACTGAAGTGACTGTAATCCTTGGACAAGTAGTTGGAAGATAAGGATCATCTATCTATATATATATATAAAACTCAAAAATTGTCAGTTTGGAGGGTATGTGCGTTATAGAAACGCGCGCCACTCAACCGATTCAGCTGAAACTTTGCACACATATGTTTTCGACCCTTGCGCAGATGATAGGCTACTTTTTGCGGCGATTCGTTGCGTCCTTCTATCGATTTATTGATTTGTTTACATTTTCCTAAGGAATTGAAGGGTTATCATGTTCAATCAAACATCTTCCATACTCATGTAAAGGAGGGCGGTGAAGCTCATTTTCACCTCAGGATCACGAGGATGCGGTTTCCAAGCGGATGTCCCAGGGTAAGTCATCCATACCATATAGGGGGGGAGGGGGAAGGGGGGGGGATGGCTCGCAGTGCAGTGAATCATGCATGGCCCGGGCTGGACCGGGAAAGCCAACTAGTATATATATAAAACTCAAAAATTGTCAGTTTGGAGGGTATGTGCGTTATAGAAACACGCGCGGCTCAACCGATTCAGCTGAAACTCTGCACACATACATATGTTTTAGACCCCTCCGCAGATGATAGGCTACTTTTTGCGGCGATTCGTTGGTTCCATCTATCGATTTATTGATTTGTTTACGTTTTCTATGGAATTGAGGGCTTATCATGTTTAACCAAGCATTTTCCCATATTCATGTAAAGGAGGGCGGAGCTCATTTTCACCTCAGGATCACGAGGATGTGGTTTCGAACGGAGCTTAGGGTAAGTTATCCATCACATATAAGAGGGGGGGGGAGAGCTCGCAGTGTAGGTGACCAATGACACGGGCTGGACCGGGAAAGTCAACTAGTTACTTATAATAACGGGCTAAGGATGTTTACGTGACTTTGTGTGTGTGTCTGTGAGCGTGTCTGTTACGAAATTCGTCGTGATCCAGCCAACCTCCTGGGCTCAAATTTTGCACAGCGCATGCTATCCGCATGAAAGTCCAACATTCAAAAGCACGAGCAGATTCGTTGAGCGGATCCTCAAAAACTGCGCGTCAAACGGATACACTTTGCATTCGGGCCGCAAAATTCGGTCCGTAATTCCACTTTTTGCAGAGTCGTGGATGTTCATGCCAAGTAAATGTGCAAGCCATGAACTAGGCCCAAAAAAATGATCAAATGTTCATTACTTTACAAAAACGGCGCCAAAAAGTATTGGTTGCGAAAATGGTCAATTTGCCAAGGTTTTGCCAGAGCATTTGACGAGATTTTTGCACAAAGATGCAGTTCACGTGACTGTTGTTTTAACTGCAACTGTCCAAGACCATGGGAAACTCAAACTATAAAAATTCGCGTTTGTCCGGAAAAAAGTCTCATCCACGCGAATTTACCGATTTCACATAAGAAAGCTTTCGGAATGAGTAGTTGCTTACACTTTGTTCGTGATAGTCGGCATTGCTCGGTGAGTTCTAGTGGCATCATTGTGCAAGAATGAGTAGGGCCTAGATATTAGAGCCAGTGCGAGCCTCTGCGAAGCAGAGGTGACGCACTGGTAGGATAATATGGACGGTAGATTTTTTCTCACAAATTACGGGCGGTTACACTAAAGTTCAAGCGGCTTTAATTGAGTTCATGATTATTCTTGTTGGAAAATAACAATGAGTTTGTTATTGTCTGTGTTATTACTGTGTTGTGACCACTAGGTTTCTATTGATGTTTTAATGATCCATGCGCGGAAAACGAGCGCTCAAGGTCTAAGGTACAGGGCCTATCAAATTGAAGCTCCCGCCAGAGTGCCGAAGCCATGCCAGCGTTACGCCAGCGCCGAGCCAGCGTTTCGATCGATACACGTGTATTTCGTTGGGGCGGGCTAGCTGACCTAGTTCTCAGCCAGGGCCCCGCCCCAACGAAATGCACGTGTATCGATCGAAACGCTGGCTCGGCGCTGGCGTAGCGCTGGCATGGCTTCGGCACATTGGCGGGAGCCTGAGTGTCGTTTGCACCAGCATCTCCACCTTCGCGCTGAACTCTGCGTCTCATCTACGGTACATCCTCCCTAAACACGTTCAATCGAATGAAGCTCCGCCCTTTCCCACGCTGGCCCTTGGAAAGTGCTCAGAGAGCAGCCCCGCGGAAGAGACGCAGAGTCCAGCGCGAAGATGGAGATGCTGGTGCAAACGACACTCATTTTGATAAGCCCTATATATCTCAAGCATAATCAATCGCTGCGCGATCTGACACTACAATGACTCGTCATAATTTGTCGTAAGCGCGCTTTTCTTGGGCCAGACTCGATGTCTTTGCAACAACTTACTGCTACGCGCCTATGCATTTAAGACCCGCGCATGGTGAACCGTAGACATCTGGCAGATCGTCAACTCACGTGGACTTGACGATTCGAAAATCCCGTGAAGTATGCCTTAGGCCTAAGGCCCCGGGCAGACTTCACGCGATTTGATCGTCGCGACTGAATCGCGCAGAGACAACTGTTACAACATCATTCCATGCCGATCAACTTGCATTTCGGTTGTGACACTTTTCCAGCCCGAAATTTTTGAATGTGAAATGAAAATGAATGGAAATGCTGGCGATTGAGCCGCGACGATCAAATCGCGTGAAGTCTGTCCGGGGTCTAAGGCATATCTCTCGAGATTTTGTGAAATCGCCACATCCTCGCGACTTGGCTATTTGCCAGATGTCTAGAGATTAAGCATGCGAGGCTCTCAGATGCGTGGGTGCGTAGATTCCGTGAATTGTAACAAACACAGCAAATCTGGCCCAGCAAAGTGCGTTTACGACCAGCTATGGAGAGTCGTTGCAGTGCCAAATCGCGCGGCGACTAAGATCGCGTGAGGTATGTCTTAGGCCTTAGGCCTAAAGCGCTTCTTCATAGATTATTTAATCGTTTTGCAGTTGTCAGTCCTTATTCTTATCCAGCTACTAATAAATCTATATCCTTACAAGTGTCAGGAACCACCACAAGTACAACTACAAGTGGAAGGAAGACAACAGATTTAGTGAACCAGTACCTTACGAGATGGCGAAAAACACCTTGGATACTTCTGCACTGATTCAACTCTCATTTCAAATCTACTTGAAAAAGGATTAGAGCGTGCATCCAATTTGAAAAGGCAACAGGATCTCATCCGAGTAATGTTCGTGACAATCACTTCAAAAGAAATGGGACGAGCTATAAGTTCTTCTCCTACTTGTGTTTTTTTTTCTGAAAAGAAACCGTCTCCATTGCTTTGGCCGTTGAGATCGCCTACAGTAAAGATGAAGTGTCGATGGTTACATCACAAAATTAGGAAGGAATTCCAATATCAGAGATTGATTTGACACAGTTTGCTTCGGTGTTTGAAAAGAATGAGTAAAATAGCTTATCGAGAGCGTTCTACTACCAGTTATCCGGCTTCACAATATTTGACAACATTGATTATAGCCATACAAGCCTACCAGCATCTTAATGGCCATTTCAGATCGAGGAATTTTCCTTTCGAGAATTATAGCAGCACAACTGTACATCTGGCCACAAATTCCCTTCACGGCTTGGCAACTGCACTAACACTCTTCAGGGGCCAAAGTTATAATCATTGCTGTTCGCCGCATTCAACAAAGCAGCCAGCTCAATTAGGACTTCCTCGCAGCCAAGAAGATGATGTTTGACTGGTGGTCGCAGCTAAGGACTTTACACATTTTGAGTGATACCGCAAACTCATTGATTTGAGCAGTACTGAGATAGTTGACATTTGAGCTTAGTTCTAGTAAGATAAGCGACTGCCGTTTCGAGCACACCAACAACCGAGTTCGTGGAAGAAATTGTAGTATTTCTGCTTATGCTTTCTTTAGCGAACGTTGTAAATTGTTGCCTACTCGCAGATGCATATCGCCAAAAGACACTTGAAGCTGGAGGAAGATTGGAGGAAGCCCATCGAAAAAGAGCTGGCGGTAGAAAATTATCAGACCATCTCTCTCCATAGACACCTTTGAAGTTTTGTTTTCCGAGCAAGATCTTTGATGTCCGCTATATAGTTGATACTCGCCGTTTCAGCTTGAATTAATGTAAGTTTCTACTGAGTAGACCGTTTTGCTTGTATTTCCAACAGATTGGTGCATGTTGCCAGCGTGTCAATCATGCATCGCAATTTGACAAGCAGCTTTAGCATCGAAGAGAGGACCAAAACCGAGGATGCTGGAGTCTGTTCGACATCCCTCTTGTTTTTTCTACGTAAATGATTTTTTGTATTTCAGTTGACAGAAGCCTGAGATGGTCATTTTTTCAGTCACAGGAGGCTTAGGTGCTATCCCGTATGAAATCAACTTGTGCAAGTTTCGACTACCTATCACCAGTGGAATCACTTGAAGAGAGATGAGAACTACAATCTCTTCGATGATAATTAGGCCATTTGCTCGGCAACAAATAAAAAAGCGGTTGCCCAGGCGCTCTAATCCATCGCAGCTTCCACAAAGTCTTCTTGGATTTTACTACAGAGCTCTAAGCCAAGGCTTTGGGCATGCATAGCGGATTTCAGTCGCCACGCGAATGGCAAGTTGCCTTCAGATCCTACATTAACAGATTAAAGACGCAAAATGCGCATAACTAAATTTCCTAAGTACAATTTCTAAGTTTAACGAGAAGTGCCCTATATTCTATACGTTCGTTCAGAATGCGCTTACGACCAGTTCCAATGAATTGGAGTACTGTATGTGGCTATCAATTGCACGAGTTATGTATAATGCCTAAACGGCTGAGAGTTTTACTCCAAGTAGTCTTCTTCTGCTCTTGAAGCTGTGTCGATGGAACAGCTGAGTCTGCCAAGATCAACTTTAAAAGTTGTCTAGACAACTGCACGTCGCAACAACGTGATCTAGGGGTTCTCTATAGAAACAACTGCTGCATGTTGAACTATTCGTTATTTGTGCAACCATCCGATAAAGACAGTGAGAAGATTTAGCAAGGGAACTGACCCCGAGCGATCCTCTGCAGTTAGTTGGGGTTATAAAATTAAAAATGAACCACCCGAAATTTGTTGCTTGAAGCTTTGCTTGGACTTGGAGTTGATAAGAATATATCACTTGAAATTACGAGTTCATTATTTTAGAGATGTGAGTATATTCTTTCTCCGAAATGACGTTTGACCCGGCATCATGCATATAAAAACCACTCGAGCTTGTGCTTTCCCATTCTTAATTTTGGATGTCATGGCTCTACTGAAAAATTCGACCCCATTTCCCACATTATACTGGTACGATCACCAAGAGTACACCCATTTACTCGAAATTCCAATTTCGTACGCAAGGGCATTCCCATTTGTAGCCGGACTTTCCTATTTGACGAATTTTCAAGCTAAACTGCCACGACGTCTGCCTAAAGGTTTCGACAACTGCATTTACCTATTTAGTTTTTGATATATTGCAACAATGTAATGAGTAACCCAAACAGAAATCGCAGGACGTTCAAAGATCCTAGAGTTGGAGATACAGAGGCAATGAGATGATTTTGCCTTCAGTTCATATAGTCAAGCCTTTTGCGTACAAATCATGCAAAGTTAAAGATATGGGGGTTGGCGGCAACTATTATTTACCTATTCTGCCCACAAAAAGTCTGCTGATCTTGGACCATATAGTTCTCTGCTTGAAACAAATGTAGTTCAATGCTTGAGATATTTGTCCCACAAGCATCAAGTCTGGCATACGGATTTGGACAGACATGAGGCAAGGTTAGAGGAAAGGCACTGTAGCACTTAACAGTTAATTCGAGTTTGCCTTGCGCAGGTGATTTTTTTTGCTAAGAGTGGTTGTCGTTAATTTCATTTTTCAAAGGGGTAACCCTAATTTCACGCGTATAAGACGCACTTTTCAGTTATTCAAGCTAGCCGCTCAGCCGCCTCGTTGTTTCGGAAAACCAGGCTTATGCCACACGATACTCTCAGGCAATATGCAGCACTGTAAATAGTTTTTGGACGCGAAGTCCTTCGACCTGTCTGTGCTGTTCGATTTTAGAAAAAAATCCCCTGCGTCTTATACGCGTGAAATCAGGGTACGGTACCAAAGAACACCACTATACACGGACCAATTGAGGCAGTCCGACACAGACTACATGATGTACTCTCAAATCCAGCGTTATCGAGCAAGCAAAAATCAAATCGTTTAATACCATTTACTGAACTTCTCAAAAAATGTCTAGAGAATATGAATTAGACAACGATCATTTTCTCAAAAGATATCAAGAAGGGTGTCTTTATTATCACCAACTCTCTTAAAATGCGGAAACAGTGTGACCCTCACAGAGAGTCACGTGCTGCTGGGAACTTGTCGAATTTACAGCTAGTCCATAGCTTATTTCTTGATTTATTCCTCGTGTTGACATCGGCTACCCCACCTACTGGAAGCTTTTATTAATAGTCAAAAACTCTCTCTTCTAAGACTTGTGGCCCAGGTCACGATGAATGCATGATTCAGAGCTGTAAAGGAATGCAGAACTTTTCATTCTCTTTGAGCTTGGACAGCTGACTGCACGTTCGATCGGATTTCTCAACAACGAAAAAATGAGAAGATATTCACTCCTCATTTTTCACGATCTCAACTTCCGATACTTGTTACCATCAGAGTTGAAGTCGACTCTTGGACTACTATAAACCAGTGGCGTGCGAAGGGAAAAAGCGGGGGGAGCTCCCCCCCTCCCCCCCCCCCGAGAACGGGTCGCGAAACGGTTTAAATTACTTACATGAGTTACAAAATTGTGCAAATTACTTGTTCATACTTGTAAAAAATTAAAATATTTTTAAAAGGGTCGTGAGGCCGCGAAAATTCTAGAAAGCATACCAAAAATTTTTTCGGAGTGCGTGGCTGACGGCACGCACCTTTATTTAGAAAAAATTTTTGCCGCGCTCCCCCCCCCCCCGGGACCGAAATCCTGGGACCGCCACTGCTATAAGCTAAGCAATTTTATCCTCCGCCATGTTCGCGCTAGTATCACACTACATCTATTGCAAGTAATGACTCTTAGCCCTCTTAACTTTCATCAAAAGCCAAACCTGGGGCTCAAAAACTCTCCAAAAAGTAGCAGCACGCGCACGGGAGAAGGGAAAGATTTGAATTCAATCGATGTCTGCTTTCTGCCTCTTCTGTACTAATCGTGTCACAGAGGACTTCTTGTAAATGAACAACAAAAATTTATCCCAATTAAGAATTAGGTGCGGAGAGACAAATAAATTACAAAAATTATGAAATGAGATTCGAAGCGGAACTGACTATATGGTTTTGAGAAAGGTGAATATGGTCAATTATTAAATTTGTGACAACCTTAAGCTCGCAGCTATATGTGAGTTTTGACTCACCAAAATTTCAACAGTTTTGATCCACAATGGGAAAAATCAGTGAAATGACTGCCAGACTAAAAAGCGACCGGATAATCCGTAAAAAATGCTCTTGACAATAAATTATGCATGTCGTCAGAATGGAAATAAGCATGACAAGCCATGTAAAATTCCGATGGGAACAAAAGTTACAAAAGTTGGATCGAAGGCTGCCAATGTTGCATTTTACTTAGAGACTAGGGAGGGGCAATGTATGAAAGGCGACATTTGCCTGTTACACTAGAGAGGGTACTCGGTCCAGAGCAGCACAATGTCAGAATTTATGTAGAGTCGTGATAGTAAGGTGTAGGTAAGATTCACCAGAACCCTGTAGATCGTCCTCCGGGAGGATTCCTTACGCGGGTAGATGCCGGCCGAGTGTCGCCACCTGGAATAAGATACATATGCTAGAGAAAAAAAAACGAATGGAAATTGTTTCAATACTAACAAAAACTTAAACACTCTGAAGTCAATTGGTACAGCTTTCTTTGGTTGTTTTACTATGTAAAGCTATAATCTTTTGTAAACTACGTTTCAACGCCTTCTCGTCAAAGCCCATTCCTAGAAATTCAGCAAGTTCTTCTGAACTCACACATCGTCAGCCTATTTCAGATGCAAAGATTCAGAAAGGATTCAATGCGTCCCTTCCAATGCGAATGCGAGTGATGTGTTTGCTTTTCAAAATTGTTCCTCTGCTCCAAACCAAAATGGGAACACATAATGCGCTAATGCAAGAACAGGTTTCAATCGAATGGTGTTTAACAGTGGATAAAAAGCATACATCATTGCGTAATTCTTCTGCATAGAGATTTGCATAGGCCGGCTTTTGCTAGCAAACTCGAACAGTCTCTGTGTAATTGACGTTTACATAAAACAACTTTTGAAACTACTGAAAATCTGTTTCCTGCACTTACAGCATTTGAACATTTCCTGACTGATGCAACATTTTAGAATCAATTGCAGAATGTCCTATAGTTGCAAAATTGTGCAGAATGCTCTTCTGCGAGAACTACTGCACAGAACATGACATATCCATCACAAAATAACTATCAGGTTGAGGCTTAACTCGTCGCCCGCTATTTTCTTTCACTACCTACAGACTTCCCTGTCAGAATACTCATGAGCCTCTCAGCGGAACACTTGCCCTCCAACTGGTTCCCGATAAAGACGGCCTGTTGAAGATGGTTGCCCAAATTTGAGGATGATAGCTTTTCAAAACAGTAACAAAGTGCTCAGCCAACTGTCAATTTTAGAAATGTGCCGACATTTGAAGCAAGCCGTTACATGAAGACGGACAAAAAACTACAGCGGAAAGAAGACTGCTTAAATTCGTTTGAATACTCCCCACCACAATAAAACACTGTCGAAGATGAACCTTTGGGTGACGGCTTGCAGCGCCCAAAGGGTTTAATCTGTTTTTTGGCCCGCGCATTCTTCACGAAAACAACCTAGGAGTAAGCTTAGTAATCGAAACTGAAAGCGCGTTGGTATACATCGCGAAAATTTCGTCTGAGCAGATCAAATTTCGTCGAGGTTATATATTACTACCACTGATGATTACATCACTAAAAGTTAAACAACTCAATTAAGAGCTGGACAATCGAGTGGTCTGTACTTCAACATGGGACCATGGTTTGCAACAAACTTACCAAAACTGATATTTGATTCTAGATGTGACTTCCGCACTGAGGGCCTATCATAAGTTGGCTCGGGATTGCTCCGTTTAGGAAGTACCCCATTAGAAGCTTGGCCATTATCGCCTCGGTCAACTTTTTCAGCTGTGCTGATCTGAAAGGCAGTACTTGACAAGGGAAAGCAATATAAAGCAGCTCAACAGAAACCTACCTTATCTCTTTGTTGAACCACACTGAATAGATATGGACTACTTGCTGAGAGCTGGATGAAGGAACCTTTGCACTCCTGGATCTTGCCCTCTTTCCAAGCAATCTGACCGCCGACTATCGTAACAGCTGCCTAAATTTCAGTATTCGAATATGAGCTTTCGATGTTGCGATTTTTTTCACCTGGGCATGAAGTGTAAGTCCATCATAGAGGCTAGCATCTACAGATGACTGGCGTTCAGCAGCCGATAGCTTCCATCGAACGGATGCATCCCAGAGGACTAGATCAGCGTCAGCTCCTACAGCTATGCGTCCCTGTAATGCGATATTTTGAGAAAATTTGTGAAAATTGCTTCCCATAGTCACAGGGCACAAATCATTTTCATTTCTATTTCATAGCAGTCCAACATTTCGCCCATTAACCAGCCACTTCAGTCGTCTTACTTCCTCCCTCAAAATTAGTCGCGTAGTTCCACCAAACAGCGAAAAATCGATGTCTAACCACATAAAATGCTTTCAAGTGGTGACAAGGCTCTCGAAAGCATGTCGCATGAAAGAGACAACACAGAACATCTGCTCAGCAATTTCCTTTTGACTTTCAAATTGAACTCATGCAAGCGAATGACTGTCGTAATAGCGGATAGATCTACAATGCAAAGATCTGCCATGATGAGTTGCAAAAAGAGAAAACCAAACAACGATGCTTGATTATTCCCCAGGGCAAAGAACGTTCAATATTTTATTGATGAGCTCAAGCGATAAGAGCGCGAGAGATGGCAGATCTGAATGCGAGTAACGAAGAAATGTTTGACATCTCACCTCCCGAAAGGCAATGGAATTGCAGTCAATAGAAGTTTTTGAACTGTTCAATAGTATTTAGAGAAATTTGATGACTTCACCAAGAGGCTTTGAATTCCGGTGGCATGGGTAGAAGACTTTATGTCCCCGAAAGAGGTGGTCCTGGTCCCATGTGGACATCTGCAACGGACCACGCAGCCACGCATACTACACACACTACAGATTTGTATCAGCCCGCACGGGCTGCAGCCTATCGGCGACATATAGTCGCCCTCCTCGTGGCATCAACCATATCCGCATGTTAATCCTCTGCTACGGACCAGATACGAGGCATAGATCGACACAATTGTCGTCGATGAATACGGATATTCCTTACCCCCCCCCCCCTCCCCCTCCCAACGCTTCGCATATATAACTCAAAGAAGTGAGGAACTTCAAATATGAGCGGGAAAAAACCTAGCAAATGTGCAGTTGGGATGAGGGTCCCTCACCCTCTGCGGTCATTTCGTTGCTATGCAACACCCGCTAAGAGCTAGTCCCTAAACGAGTCGCAAAACGGCTCACACGCTAGATAGCGCCTGTAGTCGGTTGATCCTGTTTTGATACAAATTGTACAAACTTTACATAGAGCATTTTACTTGCAGCTCGAAGATATGTTGCGACAACTAATACTCAGATACTCAGAATACGAAATCGAATCAGCGCGGTAGAAAAAGCAACCTCGCTAAAGTGCAACTTAATGCGCCTTTCAAATGAACAACAGCCCTCAATTAGCAGTCATTCGTAGCGTTGAAAACTTTTCGGAGCGGATCATGCCGGTTTTCAATTTCGCAACAGGGCAATTTCCAAATTGGGAATGAATCATCCCGAGAACGACATCTCAGGAATCTCAAATTATTTGACGGGCCACACCTTGATCAGGGAACTCATGGCAAGCAGAACTATTTTCGTTTTTTAGTCGCACTATCTCTACCTCGTTGGAATGGTTCGGAAAGACTTTCGAACAACGTTGTGCAAGTATAATTCTACTTTTTGTGGATATGTTTTACCTTTTTGGGATACATGTTGAACATTTTCGCCGCATTCGTTGACGTTACAGCTACGAATCGCATCGGATCAATTCGTCCAGTGCGAACAGCTTTCTCCCATACAACACACATTCGCTCCTCTACTCCAACGGTTCCCTAAAAAGTAGGGAGTTACTAGGCAAAGTGCAGATACTCAGAGTGAGCGCAATGTGCATGAAAATAAGATAAGACCCCCATAAGGTCCCCCATCTTACTTTGGGCATGGCAGTGAAATCCCTAGCGCCCATTCTGCTCTCTGATGAGATTGCGTGATGGCCGGAAGTGCAGACGGCTAGCGGCTGACTAAAAACAGACAACACATTTTTACGTCCACTGCTCGCTGACGTTCACTATTTTTTCATACATTTCTTTCGATCTGACTCGGCTCTCTGAATACTAACGAAGCCTTCAACGCTTGAAGACCTCGGGTGCGAAAGACTAGAAAAAGCTGTACCTAGCTAGTGCAGATACTAATTTGCTGGAGCCTTCCGTGCGCAGAGGTACTTCAGTCATGTGCAACGTCGCTTGTCTCAAGTTCTTGTCAAAATAGTGTGTTCCATCTGTGGCTATCGCCGCACATGCGATCTCGGGATGTGCTAGAGCTCCCGTACTTCTCGCTCTCTCCAAAGCTGATAGCGATTCAGCGGATGACATCTGCAAGCATTTTTTCTGCCCACAACTCAGCAAATGGAATAAGTATTTTACATCAACAAGTCACGTTTACAAAGTCAATCATGAAAAAAAAGATTGATGGCTGGCACATGTTAGTGTGCAAAGTACAGATGCAAAAAATTAACCTCCTCTAGAACAAATCCTGACCGATAACGAATCATTTTTTGCAAAGACATCCCAAAAAATTCAGTGATCGATTTGCAACCCAATTTTTCGTCATGTAACGGCCGAAAAGTGGAAAGGGTGTGATTAAGGAGCATAGGATGATACATATGGTTTCGAAGTAGTCATGATCATCGTTGTTACAAATTCGCAAGAGAAAAATTTTGATAAACCACGAAAACGCACCGCTAGAATGGAAACAGGACAGTTGCTCAGCTGACTGAGCACACAAACGCTGCTGACACGCTCGCTTTCCAACTGAAACAAAATTTTTGCAAACTTTCACTTACCTAACCTAAATATAGATAGTTTAAAAATCCCACCTCCTCAGGATGAGATTGACAGTAACCTTCCGGACCTGTAATGCCTAGATCCAACATCTTTTTTTCCAAATACGGTATTATCGTGCGATTTTCGGGCATTACACGTGCATGAACGCCCAAAGCCCTGCAGTGTTCCAGCACCTAGAACAGTCAACATCGACATTCTATCATTTTGACACATGTCATAAAGTAAGCCATTTCAAATTTATGGGATTAGAAACAAGCTTCCAAAATTGTGGAAAACGTTAAATAGTTTGGGCACCTAATGAGAAATTCGAACACGCATAAGTATGAAAACATTTTTATGTAGAAACCTGTCAAACCCCACTATATATTCATACGATTTAATTTTAACACTAAATATGTTTATGCCGCCCAGGCCCTCTCCACAAGAGCATAGAAGGAGCCCCTTTTGATGCTCCGCTCAAGTGTCTATTAAAAACTGTTTGCTTAGCAGAATGGAGGAGTTCACGACTTCAACAAAATTGCTATAGGGTCATGTCACTGCAAATGAACAATGGAGAATGCCGAACACATAAAACCTCGCGATGACCCAGAAATGCAACACCAATGAAGCGTAAAATGCAAAAAAAGTCGTGACCATGAAAATTGCGCCGATATATAGAGTCTTACCTGGAAAAGTATCTCATCACCTTCGACGTCTATAACAAAGCTGTTGACACCTTCCGAAACTGCTTTTTCCATCTCTTTTTTCACGTTTTCCGACCATTGCTGTACCACTATCTGGAGATGTAAACATTACCGACTGGGCCATTTACATTCAAAAAAAAATTACATACTGAAAGCCCAATATTGCATAGAGACGATGACAGCCCCTCCTTGACTCTGAAGAAGGAGGATGTGAGCGATTCTCCATTTCTGGGAGAAACAATGTCGATAACCTGAACACAAATTTACCACTGATTCTAAACCAGATTCAACATGAAGGTAATTTACTGTAGCAGTCCCTCCTGCAATAGCGGCTTTACAGCCGGTTAACAGATCGTCGGCAGAATCGGGGGCAGTTAAGTGGGTATGGACGTCGATACCCGCTGGTAATAACATCTTGCCCGCAGCATCCAAAACCTCTGCGTCTGCGGGAATCTCCAAACCGGCGCCCACATTCCTAAAAGTGCTTATTATGGTGAAATTAAGGGTGCGATTATTGCTTAGTGCAGAGCAAACGAGTTTTAGATAAAAACTATATCAATTATGGGGTGCTGACAATAACGTAAGTATCATACAGTGGATTTCTAGGATTCAAAATCAAGTCTAAAAATGCAGATTTCTGCGTACTAGCCCAAATTACCGGAGCTGTATGTGCTGCTAAGCGATCCAGACAATCGTAAAACCACCTAGAAACTACAAAGCATCACGACAGGACCACGATTTATTCAGACCGTAGGTGCCTAGTGAAGTTATTTTCTAAGGACGAAAAGACTGCAAGATCACACGCAGTTATCTGAAGTGTCATAGGGTAATTATTACTTCTATACACATCTCATCGATCTTCTGTCAAATATATAACAGAAAGAAGTCGGTAGAAAGTTCCGTAACAGCGACATCTGCATTTATAGGCGCCACATTTATTTGGCCATCAATTCGTCATCGCAGACTCACTTTTCAACCAAATCAGGGCTGTGCTGAATCCAAAAACAGCTCTTGCGCCGATCGAAAGGTTTGAGAACAAAATGTGTACGTAGCAGCCAGAAAATCAGGAAATTTACTTCTAATAGGCGAGCATAGACTTTAATTCGGCACGCGAGATCATTTAGTAATCTTTGTTTGATAATTAGTTTTCCAAACTAAACGTCAATGAATGTATAATATTCAAAAGTTGTTTCACTTCTAGTCCAAATGGAAGACATCGTATACGATCTCAGTTCTAAGACTAATGCTGCAGTTCAGAATGTCACCGTGCGTGCTACAGATGAATTACACCCGAGCGAGCGTATGAAAATGAGAAACACGTGCAATTTTGAAACTTGCACCATAGATTCAGAATCGTAATATTGGGACCAGAAGAGATACAAGTATGCAACAAGTACCAATAAGTATGGAATACATGATTAGGCTGCTTTCGCACACTACTACTGCATCCCATTAGTGACAGGGGGATCCAGTTACCAGCTCTTCCGCTTGTGCACTTCAGCTGTGAGAAAATTGCAAGGTATATGTGAGCAATTGTATTTGTGTGCCTGCAGGATGGGGATGGTAACACTCGAACCACTATAAGAATTCGGGATAATACATGATTTTGTCTGGAATTCACACCACCCAACAAAAAATGCACCAATCCTCTTTTAAACCAAAAAATGTTCATCTTGAATCAAGTACGGAATTTTGAGCTTATCAAAATGTATGGAAAAATGCTCAAAGAACACACGCAACCCGAGATCTCGAGGAGCTAGGTACCTAGAAAAATACAAATTGATTAATACTTTCAGTCTGATCCGAAAACATTCAGCTCAGTATGTAATTATTTCCAGACACTTGCTCACGGACCACCAACCAGCCGTGTGCATTAAGATCCTGTGTCGCAGCATCCTTAATAACTGCGATCCGCAGCGTCACATCATCGATCGCGACCTAATGAATACGTAAAAGGCCGTACTGGCCAAAATCCAAGCTCGAAATTGGGAGTAAAGCTGACAAAACGGCTGCGAACGAAAGATTGGTAATACTACTGGGCAGATGGACAAACACTGTGAAATTATGACGCCGATAAACAATAAAATCGATTTTTCATCATTAACGTGAGCGCAATAATTAGTTGGGTGACTAACTAGTTAGGTGAGACTTTTTACTTCGGGGAAGAAAGCTGGAAACCGGTCATATTTTGACAAACCCCTGTAGGATGAGAAAATTGCGAAGTGTAGGAGAAATTAGTTGATTGCGAAATACTAGTGAGCAAGAAGAAAAGCATGATTCATCCTGCTTTTCGATTCGATATTTAGACCAAAAATTAGCTTGAGAAAGAGAAGATGCGCAGATAATTCGAAAAAAGAGCACGTCACACATGTAAAAAAAGCGCAAACGAGAAATCGAAACAAAACACAGTTGAAATAAATTGGAAAAATTACCTGATCACTCCGTCTTGTATGAGGACGTCAGCAAAGAAGACAGAATCGTCGTTGACCACTTGTGCTCCACGAATGATCAGCGACATGCCGCCAGCACCGCTCGCGCCTTCTGCGGAGGCCTCCTCCTCTACGTCCAGCGCAGCGGCCGCTGCGGCTGCACCCTCGCCGTCTGCCTCCACATCCACATCGCCGCTCTTTTTCACCGATCCAGAATCAGCACTCAGCGTTTCCACCTCCTCAATTATCTGTATTATATTTTCAGCAGTCTATGAGCTTTACTGCTACAAAATCTCTGGTATATCTGTTATCTTTTTTTGGAAAAATTAAGCAAAATGATTTAAATTTCACCAAAACTAGAGCACATATTTCTCTCCCTAATATTGCCCCTGATGATAGTGATAGCAGCGATTGCCAATGGGAATAAAATGGGAAGGAAGAGGGTTGTGAGGAGGAGTCAAAAAGACGGACTGGTAAAAAGAAAATTTCATAGAATTCAATCTACTCTATTTTTGGTGACTATGATTCAGCACCAATCAATAGTGGACTGAAACGAAGTCACACAAGATTATGGCTTAACTACACTTTGGACTGGAGGGAAAAAGTCCTCTCTTTGTACTTCCAGCTTTCCGTAAACAACAAGGTGTGCGCTTCACACTGCGCTCTCTCCTCGTACGACACTGAGGTTGGAAAGTATATGAACAACATTTCTGACGTTGGTATTTTTTTCTCAATTCTTCTATGTGCTTCTTTCTTTTAAGCGTATTTAAAGAACAAGTGATGTAAGTGAAAGGCTGTTCAAACATTCGCCATCAAGATGTCTCCCTCTGCTGATGCGTAAACAACACCAATGGAGACAATGAAGCTGAACGGTACCAACTCAATAAATACCGATGAAAAGAAAATGTAAAGCGAAGTTTTCAAAATTTGAAAAATTCTATGTTCAGACTCTTTCAATATCACTTAACACGATTTCAAATATCTGCAGCCAGAGACGCAAAAAAAGACTTGAAAAAATCCGCATTATTACAGCTAAGACATAAATGGATGTAATTGGATTCAATGTCAACGAAACTCAAAAGTGCAGCCATTGAAGCTGAATGCCGTGACACTGCACTTATTCTCTAGGGTAAATCGGGGGGTGACAAATAACTCAAGAAAGGATACATGCGAAACCATATTGACCAATTTAATAAGGTAATGCTTCGGATATAGAAGACTAGAGGTTTGAGAATGATAACTAAGCATTTAATTTGTAGGATATCATTTTTTCCTACTTAAATAACGATAACGTTGACAATCATCCATATGCCTGCGTTTTTTTTTTTGATTGTGGGAATTTTCATTCACCTATTCCTCGTAAATACGAGGTCTCAAAAATCGGCTTATATCAAAAGGAACTGCTCCTAATTTTCTACGGGTCACAATAAACGACTTGCGGTTCGTGTAACTACAATTTTAACATGAACTTTCTTACACGTCGATCTATAAACCAGAAGACGAAGAAGTGAAATATCAGCCTCAAGATTTGTATGAACTACTAGACAGCTTTCAGTAACAGCATAAATCCCACCTTTGCAAGATTTGCTAAAACTCCCCACAAATTCTAGTTTTCTGAGGACTTTCAAGCAAGTACGTACTGTTATGATACGATGCGAATGTGCTGATACTTTTGTCAAATTCTACAGTAATGAAAAAAGACAAGGCATGATAAAACATCTATTTACATCGAAAATCTTAGTGATGCCAGTTTTCTGATATGGACCTTAAGGGCTGTAGTTGATACTGAGACGAAAGGGACATTCATTACTCAACAATGAGTTCTTTACACGTCGTAAAAATGAACCGTCTAACAAAGAGATGCATGCATTTTTTTATCACCCCTCTCTTTGAACCTTCAGTCAGAGCACTTGCACTTGCTTCGTCATGATTAAGAAGCCAAACATTTGGTAACACTCATATTTCGTTAGCAGTAAAAGCTGTAACCTTAAACGCAAAGAAAAACGCTCATAACGCTAGCCATCTGTATAGTGCAATGGATACGGATGGCTTGTTTGAGCGCACAAATCTACCAAACTGGGTTCCATTCTAGCATGTTGCTATAGCAGTACAAGCCGAACTGGTATAAAAATTGCAGCGCAATTTTTGAATCCTTGTACTTTGGTTTCGACCTGCTTGCAGGAATTGATATCCTAGTGAAAAATCTATCTCATGTCCTTTCAGTCAACAAATAACAGGTTCTCCTCCAAAAATGCTAAAGGCTGTTCTTCTTTGAAAGTGCTGAAGCGATCAGCCTATATATTAGGTTGATGCAAAAGGAATGGCCGATTTGCGAGTTCTCAATTTGATGTGCTATAACTTTCTAAAAGATCAACATTTCTGAATGCGGTAAAGACCACCAGAAGCAGCAAACCTTTCGCAACACAGCGCATACTTATTTATACTCAAACCTTGAACGGAGAGAAATACGGACTAAAAGACAAAAAAAGTTCTTCTGCGGGAACCTTGTTCTTGACAACTCATAACTTCCTTCAAAATTTCTTAATATGAATGATAAATGGCCTATCTTGTAGCCGCAAGCCAGTAGTACAAAATACAAGAAAAAGAGTTCGGGCAAAAAAAGTTTGCGAGAAAGAAAAAATTGAAACTTAAAATTTCTCAGTTTTTTTTCAGTGTGCCTCAAAGTCCGGAATATAGAATTTTCTGATTTTTTACGTACTGAACAGCTGGATGTTTGTGCAAAAACTGCTAATAAATGTCCTAGCTCTACGCTTACGGAATTGTGCAAAGTTTCGGCGACTGACTTCCTCAGAAGAAAATTATGGGTTATAAAATGACCGTAGTAGCTATCCATGTTTAGGCGCCGATATCTCAGTCTGGATAACTTCAAAGAATGCAGTTAAGTATGCATAATTTAGAGAATTTCTATTACATACAACAGCTAAATTTTCGAAGAAATCCCATTGATACGCGCTTGAATTCTGGCCGGAAAAGTGAATGCAATGAAATTCTGAATTTGGATGCAGTTATTTGAAGCTCAGTAACTTTATAAGAGATGAGGATGAGAGCCCTTTTCAAGCATCTTTAGATAGAGCATGAATACAGCTTCGCGGCAATATACTACATCCGCTGTAAAGAAGAAGTATTGATGGAAAAAAGTTGCCCTGAAAAAAGGCTTGGAAAATCGGCCAATTCTTTTGCATCTACCTAATACTTTATATAGTCACCACATCTGACAGAAAAATGCTTTTTGTTAAGCCTTCTATTTGAATAAGATTAATTCGTTTGCGCAGCCGGCATACTGTGAACATTCGATATCGCGAAGCTCGGCTACTGCAAACATCAGAGCTCTCACATCTCGGATTACAGCAGTAAAAATGAATCAAAAATTGCTATGGTACATAGTGTTCTCATTCCATCATTTGACTGAAGTCCAATTGATCACCCTGTATGATGCGACATATTTGAGCTCTATTCTCCGGTGTTGCACAAATGCCATGGGAAAATCCTTTTCTTGGTGAGAATAAACTCGAAAAAAACTTGAGAGTCACTCATATTCAAATTGCTCTTTTCAGTCCTTTCTCCCAGTCCAGAAAGAAATGTCCCTTTCACACCTTCCTTTTTAATTGAAGTTCATCCAAGAGAAAGTTAAGCACAAATGACAGTTGTTTCAATCACATTCAGCACTCTTGACTATTTGAAACAAAATACAGGTCAATAGGGTTTTACCTCCGCCCCAAATTTACTCTATTGTGTCTGTTTAAAAAAAAATTTCAGCTCTCCAAAAATTCGTGCGCAGTCTCGTCACGACTTGGGACTGCTATCCTCGAACTCGCAGACTATAGAGTCAAAAAAGCTACCTCATCGTCATCTCCCAAATCAGGTCCAGGCTCGCTCGTCATCATTTTCTGTTTTTCCTCCTCCGAAAGTGTTGGCGTCGCTAACACTTCGTCCTTGGCCTCTGCCCAATCATCGGCCAAATTGGGTGTTTCTGTTTGAATTACGCCAGTCTCGGAAGACTCTGGCTCCATTTGTTGCTCTGCAAGGCCAGTGTACGAATTGTTGGAGGAATTCGATTACAGGATAAAGGACATACCCGTACCAGAATTGCTCGAATCATCAAACCATTCAGGACCCGGTTGGTCAACTTGGTCCACTTGAGTGTTCGTCGTACGCCAATTTCCTCGTTTCCTTACTCGTTCGTAGGCCTAGTACAATAAGATTTACGAAGGTTATTGAGGAGCTAATATGGAAGCGCGAACGATCTCCGAAGAAGATGTGTTCATAATATCTAGGTACGAATGACGTTACTACCATTATGGGTGAGGAATTACCTACCGTGCCGTGCTCATCAATCTCGGAGAAGAAGGGAGCCTTGACGGGTGGGTGCTTGACAGTTTCCCAATCAGAAAGTTGATGGAGCTCCTTCTCCATGAGGTTCTTCCTGTGGAAACTACCAGTCTCTTTGGGTTCTGGTATGCTATCAAACACCGATGAAGCCCCAAATGCTGATCCTCCACCTCCTCCAAACAGTTCCTAAAAAGAAAGTAGTAACCATTAAAAGAGTAATATGCAGATTTCCAAGACCATCATTGCTGAGGATGTTTCTAGTCCCTTGTTACGATGCCTGGATGGTGGCGGCGGTATGTCAGGCAGTGTTGGTGGGATTGGCGAGGATTTCGCAGAACGGGCCGACGTAGGCTTCAACCACGACAATAACAGGAAGTTGTTATTTGCGAATATGGGAGGTAAATCACCTGTGAGACATAATGCGGAGATTTCGACTTGTTTCGGCTCGTAGGCCGCGAAATACTTGCCGCCGCAACTTTGCTTCCTTAAAAATCAACAATATACTTCAGCAAATGCAGGTAGCAGAATGTGACGTACTGGAGACCGGACGTCGCGTCGGTGTTGCCACCAACCGTTCCTTTCTGTCAGGAACTTCATTGTAGAACTGAACTTCGATAAATGCGTCCGAAATCAGCTTCAACGGACGCCTGAACAGTGGTTCTTACTTTTTAGCACTTCATCTCGTAATCATTTTGTGGAACAAGGTGTTAGAAAATTGTCATCCATAGTCGTTTCTCACGAAGTATAGCTTTCTATACGGCAAAAGAACCGTCATTCAGATGACACGTCAGACATCCTGCAATAACCGACTCGTTCGTCATGAATTCATGCATGAGGGCGCGTTAATGGAATGCTAGGGCGCATTTTAAAAAAGTATTGGCAATGCTGTTAGTCACCATCAGGGTGAAACTACGGATTCAATATTTGAGTTGAAGGAGTGGCTTAGGAAAATTGCAGTCACAAGCTTCCCATTCCTCCTTGACCTTCTGGATGGGCTGAGTCCAGGGCTGTGCTTGAGAAGTGAAAAAAAAAGACTTTCAGTGGCAATCTTTTAGCCTTGGAGATCGCTGGAAGGGCTGGACGAGCGATCCGCCAGCTGATCGCGATTGGCTGCCTGAGCCGATCAGCCAATTGCCGCCAAATGGTAAAGTTACAATCTCCCGCAGCCACTCGCTGTTTTTGGCGCGAATCTCTCCTCCAGTCCCCTCAGCAATCTCCAACGCCGGAAAATGTCAAAAAAAAAAAACACTTTTCTGGCCAAGCACACTCCCGACTCAGCCGATCCAGGAGGCCATGTAGGGAAAGCTCGCAGTTGCAGTTTCACCGAGCCATTGCCTTCAAAAAATGTTTGTGCACTGCACATTGTATACCTGACATTGCTCTGAAATTCTTATAATCAACTAATCCTATCAACGATGTGACTCAGTTCAAAAAGCAGATATCTTCCGCTCTGATAAGTCTTTGGATCGTGGCAAACGCTGCTGACCGTGAAGGATACTATACAATTTCATACCCTAAAAGTCATGGCCTCAAAAAGTCGCGCCGCTTGACCTTGGAACTTTTTACGGCACTCTAAACGCGGAAAGTATCATTTGAATCAGACATGAAACAGATTAAGTTGACAGTGGAGAAAAAGCTGAAAAGGGTGTTACAGAAAAATGCCGCTTTTATAGAAACAACAGTATTCCCTGGGACTCAGTCTAAAATGAGGGGAGGCTGTGCGCAAAGTGCTTCGCAAATCTCGTGTTATATTAGTTTCAAGATTTTTTCAGAGCACATTCATTTGGGAAAAACCACTACCCTCCTAAAAACGTGGATATCGAAAACAGCAAATACAGCTGAAGAAACATGAACATGCAAAATTAGCCAAAATCAATGTCGTGTCTTCAGCGCCTAGCTACACTGAAGGTAACGTCCAAGCAAAACTGGGTACGCTCATATGTGCAGATACTGAGGAGTCATAGCTAAACGGCTGCAAAGCGACAGCTTATATAGTTCGCGCACAGCCAAGAAATCATTTCGAGACTAAATAACGTCCTTGACTGCGGTACGCTGTTAAGCTCGGAAGGAGTGCGGTTTGGGCCTGGGTTCGAAGATGGTTTTCTCAATGCAGTCAGAACATTTGCAATGCTGCTTTGAAAGTCTATCAGCCAGAGCTTCAACAACGATTTTTGGGAGATAAATTGTGCAAAGGCCAGTACTGCCTTCAAGATCAAGAATAAAATGCGAATAAGAAGGTATAATGTCATCGAGCGCAAAAATTGTATGCGACAATAAACCTTACACGTTCTATTATAATCTTAGCACTTGGTTTGCAGAGAGCATTCCCATGCAACTTCAAAATAATTCTTCTAATTATGTTTGTTTTTTATTTTCGAAAAAAAATTATACCACCCACGAGTAATCAATTGCGTGATTTCTTTTTCATGATCAAAACCGAGGCAAGTCTGTCATTATATTCTAGCAAATAAGCTGCATATAGTCTGCTCAGGTTATCAATTTTTTCACCTTTTTATTTACTTGGAAACATTATCTTGTGGGATTTTGCTTACAATGAAGCCGGCTTACCTATGCCTTGGCGACTGTATCGGTGCCAGAAACGGAAACATTGACTTCCTTGTGCAATTAGTCTGCCCACTCTGGCCTCCTCAGACCACACCTTACTCCTTCCGTAACTGAATGCTCATAAAGATTTTAAAAGGAGTGGCTTGGATAGTACGGGAAAAATCAGAATATATACAAATGTAAAAGTTGAGACTGCGCAATTTTGCGAGGTATTTCATAGCATTTGGAAAACAAGGAGAGAGAGTTGCTATTTGCATAGGAACGGTTAGACCGGAAATTGAATTCAGGAGGTGTTTTGAAAAAATAATAAAAAATGCTGGCCATCAGAAAGAAAACTTTTGTCTCGAACATAGCGGATAAGCAACTGCTGGATCCAGATGCCCCGAGCCAAGCAGTTTTTAGAAAGGAGCAGTGAACAAATCATTACAACATTATTCGCTGCAACTAGCGGGGGAGTGCAAAATAATGTGATGAATTGTACTGGATGCAAAATATCGTCACATGTGCAAACGAAGCCAAAAGTCGATGCAGATTGCAGGAACATTCAGCAAACAGAGCACAACACGATTATATTGATCGACTGAAAAACTCCATCAAAAAAAGCGTTGAAGGCTATGTAAAACAAAAACTCTTAGATAAGCGGACACTATAGTGCGACAAAAGCAATGGAAAAACCAAATCTGAATAAGATAGAAATAATGTAAAGTTGAATCGCTCTAGAAATGCAGCAATCTTCAAAGATAAATGGCAGAATCTAAACCACGTGCATCTTTTGAAAAGCAAAATCCTGGACAAGGAAATATGTACGATCTGAATGACCGAACATTATTATTCCCACTAATTGTGTTCCTTTTATGGTGAAAAAGCTGAGCAAATCTCGTCGGCGCGAAAGATCGATGAGGATAGGATGGAAACCTCAAAATGACGCAGTATAGGCCCTCCATTAGGGAAAGGGGGAAACCATCTATGCACTGAACAAGCCACTCTTTTGCTATGCCAAACTGATAAATAGTTAAGATAAATCATCGTTCTGTTTTATTCTCCACCATAAAAAGACTTGAAAATACCTGACCGGGTGGAAAGTATTGACAAGAGGGAGTAGAAACGTGAAGAGATCTTTTCTGGGATTGAAGCTGATTGGACGGCTCAGGTCAAGTTGCAGACGTTTGTCTAGACATAGATTATTATAAGTCTAAAAATAAATCCTCGTATTGAGAGACATTAGTATGAAATTCTCAGTCCAATGGCAAGTCGAACAATGCTTGTAATTTCTCCCACCAGAATGCTAAACAGATATGGAAGAGAAATTTGAAGACAGCAACAAGCGATATCTATTAGCAATTTTTAAGGAAAGCGGAGTGCTACTTTTCTGCAAGAAGTGAAAAACAGGAAAAGGGAAACGGCCAAGACAATATATGTTCAGAAATTGGGATTTCTGATGCAACAGATTCTTTATAAACAAAGAAGATGTTCTATACGAGAAATAAACCGATGGTAGAAAAAAACATGCCAACATAGCTCCAACACATCCTCAAAATTATCAACAAAACTTTGGTCGGAACCTTTATACAAGTAATGCTTCCATAAATTCCATAAAAAACCGGCCAATGTTTTACTAGTACCATACGGACTAAGCTGGAGCACACATTTGCAAATTTATCAAAAGACCACATTATTTTGAACACCGTTCCAACCGCAAGATGGTCCATAAGAGGAACTAGATTCATGGCGGAAGAGATGAATTTGAACAACGAACAAATGAAGGAATCTCTGCAAAAGGAAAGGAAAGCACGACAAAACTTTCGTGGAAATTTTTGGAACAGGGAGGCTGGCATCTCGATAGACAGGTTGAAAACAAACTAGCAGAGAGCACGATGTCGAACTACAAAATACAAAAAAAATCATACAGTGTGCACTCTTCATCCACAGCCAGAACTTAGATATTTAAATCAAAGAGTCAAGGATATGCGTGAGGGCGATGTAAATGAGGAATAAGTCGATTTTCAGCTGAAATTTTCGATTTCGAAATTCATGCAGATTATTTGCAATTTTCGATTGAATTTGTTGCATAGGAGAAACAGTCTACAGCTATTGCTGCGCTAGACAAGTGTAGCGCTAAAATGGCTCGCTGACCTGTTGCGGTCATGCTCGATAATCCTTTGAGGACTGGAAATGCGCAGAACACTATAGATAAATAGTCTACTGGAGACGAATGGGGAAGAATGACCTGATGTTTAGTAATTCTCGATAAGTCATCGACATCAAATAAGCAACTGGTCCCTCAATGACAGAACTTCACGAAGATAATACTGGGAGAGAAGAGTCACCTAACACATCCAAAATTGATTTTTAACGATGGAGCAACAGGATATTTGAGCGCTTTCGGAGTTTGCATGTATCTGACAACCAACAGCCAGATGACTCTTCCCAACTATTCGAATGAGAACAAAATGCAAACACCACACAATGCAACAGTCGTTGTTCGAGAGGGATTTGTCAATATTCACCAACAATTGTGGAAAAACTTGAGAGTGACTACTGTACTTGAGTTGATGAAGATAAAGATAGGTACAATAGATATCTAATTGAATGAATAATGAGGAAGCAACGGCCAAGCCTCAATAACATATCGGAAGACGAGAGCTGAACAAGTCGCGGCCGTGTTCTGACCGCGGTGGGCAGTACCCGACCAAATCGGTTGCGGTCCTGCAGCCGCCGACGGGCTGGTGGCGTTTCGGTGCGCCGTTTAGTGGCTGCCGATCGATAGTAGGCGGACCACGCCGGCTGCCCCCGTCTCATCCCAGGTTTCGCCGCTTTTGTAAATTTATTGTTTGCATGTGGTTTTTTCCATGTTTCTTACGATGCTGCGACGATGCCGCTGGACAGACCCACGACCGATAGAATGGTTAATGTCCGCGGGGTAGTCGTATCTTCTAGAACGATGACTCACTCGCGGATGTGCATCGTATCGCTGTTTGGTCGTCTATCGATTGTTGTTGCGATTATTGCATGTCATTTCATATGTGATCATCACTGGCTTATCGCATCTGACTAGTCGCGTATATTGCAATTCCATCACACTAATTTTCTGATGTCTTTCTGTGCGAAGTTTCATTGGCTACATTGAAAGACTGATTGCTTTTGTTCGCGTCTCTGTTTTTAACAATAAGATTTTATTTTCACTTTTATTTTTAAGCTGAGTTTCTATACTCTCTATTCCAATCGAAATTCGATAAAATTTGTGCTGTTGCGTGTGTTTTTAAATTCCTTAGAGGAGAATCTTGTGCATTCAAATACATGAAGCAGTTGCTTTCTTTCTTATTTATCTGATATATGTACCTATATGTCGTGAAAAGTTGATTTTTGTGAATATCTTATTTCTGAACCGTGATCATGCTCGTTCAACTTGCAATCAAGCAGATATAATACGGTTGTGAGATGTGATAGTCAACAGTTTCTGCTCATTTTCACGATCATCACGGCTGTATACTTTTTCCATTGTTTCCTGTTTTACGTTCTATTCCATCGCCGAGCCCATCTAGCAACTTCAGTGTCATCTGACAGAAAAGAAAACATTGGCTTACGGGAAGCATCTTATTTCAAATCTCCAGTCATCTTTGTTTCATTGATTCTGTTCATATCTTCCACTTTTTTGGTGTTGTGCTTATTGACAGCTGTATCTGCATGACGTCACTTTTTTGTTTCAGACGAACAACACATACTACTTAAATCACACAGTCGTTTCAACTTGGAATGAATCAGAACAGAAAGGTCAGGATAGTTACACTTTGCTGTGCAGCAAATTCGCATTGAATTCGACTCGAATTTCGCGCATGTTTCAACATTCATTTTCGGTAGATTTCTCAGTGGTTTTCTGCATGCGTTGCTTTTCAGGTGCAACATTGTTTGGAGAAATCAAATGCTAAGTATGTTGACTCAGCAAAATCCGATATTCTTGGAGCGTTAGCCGAATTCAAGGATTTGTTGCCGGATACTGAAAACTTCACCTTCCCAGATGGAAAAAGAAAACTAGCTTTTCGCCTTCATGGAACAATCCCTGTATTTTACAAGGTATTTTTTGCCTGTTTTGTGTGTCAATTCCTCTTCATTAATATAGTTAATAAGAAAATGTAGAATGTTCAATTCGAAAATGTTGCGAATTCCCGTTTGTGACCATTCGAACATTTCAGTTGCTAGAAAAGTTATGTACTTCAATTGCTGCCGCTTTGAATCATCTGGCAGTTTACTCACTCATCTTCATTTCACTCAGTTGCTCAATGGTTGATTTTTAGGGAGTTAGATATAACATTCCAATTTCTGTCTACCTATGGGATACACATCCTTATTATGCTCCTATATGTTACGTAAGCCCCACACCGACGATGGTCATACGTGAGTCAGAGCATGTGACGAAGCAAGGACGAGTGTTTCTTCCCTACCTCAGTGAATGGCGATTTCCAGGTTATGACTTAAACGGGCTCTTGCAGGTCAGTATTTTCGTAAACGAAACATTGTTGAGCCAGATGACTTTTATCATTTCTCTTGTTCAGGTCATGGCAATGGTGTTCCAAGAAAAGTGCCCTGTATTTGCGAAGAACTCATCAAGCAGTAGCAGCACTCCGACACCTTCATCAACAACTTCGCAACCGACTCCATCATATCCTGCGCCATATCCTTCAGCTAGTCCATCATTACCTACTCCTTATCCAACTACTCCCGCAATGCCATATCCAAATCAGACACCCTATCCTACAACAAATAATCAGTTTGGGAGGTAACATTTTTGTTTTTATATATAATAGATAGATGTGTGATATATCTTTTTATTTTGTGGACCAATACATAAACACTTTTTTAGCAATCAGACACTTATTCTAAAGCGTCATCACTTTCTTTCTTTTTGATAGTTTCCGATAGGAAGACGATGAGTCATGGACTTTTGCTCACCGCTTTTCATTTCTACTGTCCCTTTTCTCTCACCTCAACTTATTCTCTGAGCTTTCTTCATGTTTCTCTTTTTACCTTCTCACAAGAATGACAGAAATGTGTCTAAATTACTGTCAGAGCCATTCTTCTCATTCATTACTTCTGCAATTTTGTCACACCACTTGTGGACGTCCTGGACAGAAGTCGTTGAAAAGTGCTGCATCTCATATTTGCAAATTTTGATTTTTATGTTTACTTGTCATTTAAATTCGTTTTCACGAACTAGCAAAACGACATGATGATAGCTCAGATTGTAACATAGCTCTTCCATGGTTGTTCTCAAGATGTATATTTTGCCATTGCAGTGGATATCCGCCATATCCTCAACCATCTATCTCCACGCGGACACCACCTCCTGTCCCAGCTCCACCAAAGCCATCTCCTGCAATCTCAGCTGGTACTCTTCAACCAGAACATATCCGAGCATCAATACTTAGTGCTCTCGAGGACAAACTGAAAATGCGTTTGCGAGAGAAAATCGGTAATTTTATGGCCGCATCCGCTTTTTATGAGTGCGAAGATCTGATACTCCAGGCACTTCCCATGCAGAAATCACGTCGATTCGAGAGACTCAGAGTGAGCTACAGGCTGGACAACGGAATCTTCGTAGAATGATTGATGAACTAGAGAAACAACAGAAGTTGTTGGAGTCCTACATTTTTGCTCATCAGGTGTGCAGACTATTCATTAGTATGGTCTGCTGGTAGCAACTATCTCTGTCTACTGTTGCTTTTGGAAAATTCATAAACAATACCACTTAGGCCTATATCGTGAATCTGTAAACATATAACTGGTCTGGTGCATGAGCCATTGTTGCATGAAATTGTTTACTGTTCCGTTTACAGGATAAAAAAGATGAGCTGTCGCGAACATTAGCGGAATGTGGCGGAGATAACGGTGAGAACAAAACTATGGACATCGATGCAGCGATTGATGCAGCTACGCCTTTGCATCGACAAATTCTGACTAACTACGCTCAGGATTTAGCATGCGATGATGTTATTTATGCGCTTGGTAAGTTGGATATATCTGCTTTGTTCACGATTCTTTTACTTTCCATCATAATGCCTCCTATGTTGGATTTGTTCATCACTGAGAGCTCTTAACTGAATTACTGCACAAGCGATGTACGGCGCTACAGTCCTCAGCTTTGTGAAATCAATAGTGCAGACAGTTTTTGTTACTGTCCCGGAAACATCCATGCGACCTTGAAATTGAGGAACGGACTGGGGAATCAGCCAAACGTTGCGAGAAGATTGATTGTTGGTCTTCTTCTGCAAGATTGGCTCGTTCATATTTATTCTTTCTTCGAAATAGCCTTTTGATTGCTGAAGCTACGCTTTTAGTGATATATTTTGGTCTAGTTTATATTTCCCCACTGCAGTGAAAATAATCAAGCGAGCCTTTTTAAGTCTTTCCAGCAGAATTAAGCCCTTTTTCGTATAACATCTTCAGCCTTCGTACGTCTATGTAAATCAGTTCGCAAATTTTTATTCAACGTACTTTCAGGTCAAGCTTTGAGGGAGAAGAAAATTTCTGTACAAGACTATCTGCGTTGCGTACGAGATGTTTCACGAAAGCAATTCATCTACCGTGCAACTATGCAGAAATGTCGAAAAGCAGCGGGTCTTCCCATCTAATTACATCTCATACTGTCTCGTCATCATAACTAATAAGTTTTCTAAAAAATTTCTCTTTCTTCGCCTTCATTTTAGTTAACCGGTTGTGAGTTTACGCGTCTGGTGTAATTCGCAATTTCTCGCATATGTTTCTGCAGACTTTTGGCATGTGTTTTACAAGGTATTTGCCTCGCAGTATAGATGTGATTACTCAAAGGGTTGTAGACCTGCTAAATAGATATATTTTCCTGCAATGGTAAGGTCAACCCTTCCTGTTCATTCTGCCATCAAATTTTTTTCGTTTGCATTGCTTGTCTCGCCGATTTTCTTATCTACAGGGCACGTCTTTGGGGTCCCTGCTTTGTTTTGCTGTATCTTCATCGATTACAATTCTATAAATATTTTGAATCATGAAGCGAACCTCTTGCCATGCATACGGTCATGTCCACTTATCTTAATTCTGTTATTATTCTGTGCTTGTTTTTATTCATTATTTCTTCTCTGGTTACCTTTTCATTGCTCCTTTTTACAGTTTCTATAGCTATGCAAGCTATAAAATGCGTGGTTGTGGGTGATGGTGCAGTCGGTAAGACATGTCTTTTAATTTCATACACAACAAATGCTTTTCCTGGCGAATATATACCAACTGTGAGTTCCCTTTTTGTGGTATTTCATAATACATTAACGTATGCATCTCTCTACAGGTATTCGATAATTACTCGGCCAATGTTATGGTTGATGGACGTCCGATCAATCTAGGCTTATGGGATACCGCAGGACAAGAGGATTACGACAGGTATAATTTTTGGCTTTAGCAAAGTCTTATTTCAATTATGGTTGCTTCAATGCTTACCCTCATTGTTTTGCTTGGATCCGGTCGTCTCTAATTCGCTAGTAGTCTGAAGCAGATTTTGTGCTTTCCTGCTCAGTTCTCTCATGGGGTTGAATGCGCAGACATAACCTTTGAGACAAAGACTGTTACGTGTCTCGCTTTGTTTTCCTCCTGCTTTCAGTGCTTCAAAAGGGGCTCCATTTCTGCATGTGTATTATGTATTAAATTCATATTGCCATAACACTATTCGTCGGATATGCAAAGTTTTTTGGAGCTAATATGGTTTTTGCAGGTTGCGACCGCTATCCTATCCACAGACCGACGTCTTCCTCGTTTGCTTTTCGCTGGTGAATCCAGCGAGTTTTGAAAACGTGCGCGCAAAATGGTAAGGCATCTATAGTGCTGCTCTACATTGGGTACCGGCTCAATATTTCTTTTGCAGGTATCCTGAAGTTTCGCATCATTGTCCTACGACCCCTATCATTTTAGTTGGAACGAAAGCAGATTTGCGTGATGACAGAGAAACTATTGAAAGGTGATTTTCAATGTTTTTTAGCCTTTCTGTATCTGCTGTAAATGCTCGCTTCAATGCTCTGTAATCTACCCAGCTTGTTTATATACGATCGTGAATCATCGTTCAGATTCCCTTGCTTATCGAATGGCATTTTCTTGCACTCCGAAATCTCGCAGTCTGACGAGTCTGCAAATATAAGGGTTTTTTTGGATTCAAGTGTCAATTTCCTTATCATGAAATCTGGTGGATACGTCTGCTCAGCAAAAGTAATTTCACCTCAAACTCAAATAGTTACTATTGAGCTGCAAGTGATGTATTAGTTAAAAGCTGCAGATACTGGACGGCTATGGGAGATTGGGCAAAAACCCGACTTTGTCGTCGATAGCTGGGTTTTTTTTTTGGCTTTTGAAAGTTCCCAAATTGAGCTAGTGAGGTTTCATCGAGACAGCTCATGAATCGAAACTCCGGCTTTTCCAGAAACGGCTTGTTGATTGAATCCATCGCATTTTACTCTGCATCTTCGCAGCACTCTGAGACATCTTTCAGCCTTTCACTGCGGTGATTTTCGTTCATCATTCATCGTTCAGAGGTCATTTGAAATGTTTATCAAGAACTTCCGACCGATGTAGAGCAAGCCTTATCTTTCTGCATTTTTCTAAAAGAATTACGTATTGGAGTTAGAGTTCTATGCAGGCGCCCTCGTTTGAAATTTTAGTTGTAAGTTTTTAGGCTACGTGAACGCAGACTTACTCCAATCAGCCAAACTCAGGGACTTGTTATGGCGAAGGAAATCAAGGCTGTGAAATATTTAGAGTGTTCAGCTCTCACTCAACGGGGTTTAAAACAGGTTTGTTGTAACATTCTTATTCTACATGTATTAGGTTGTCTCATAAGTTTTTTCAATTTTGATTTTTTACCGCAATAGGTCACAGACTTCTCAATTCTGACTGGACTGCAAGGTACCTTTCGATAGCGCAAGAAAGTTCTATAGGGTGGCTGTAAGGGTCCGCATCAGCTTCAGTACATCGCAAGTTAGAACCCGAGATTTGACTTTTGTATGCCTGAAAAATCTTCAATATCTTTGCCCAATGAAAACTTACCAAATCTCAAATTCGCTCAAGCATATATACTCCACAGTACAATCACCGATATCCAGCTTTCTATAAGCTTTAGTTCTCGAGAGATATTGATTTCAACATAACATACCCTAGCGAAAAGAGCTAGCTTGGTATTTCTCAAGAACTAGCGCTTCCAGGAAGGTGAAAATTTGCCGATGTATTAGGTTGTCCCGAAGGTTTTGTCGGTTTTTTTTACCGCTCACTAGAACCCACAGAACACCAATCCATAGACGACCTAGGTATCAATTAATCCATATTTTTAGCCTCTTGCTTACAGCTGTATTTGCTCTTTGTTCTACTCTGTCCTTGCGATGTTATCGCCATGGCTTTTTGAGCAGCGCAACAGTAACGCCAAATTTTTCCTGAATTTTAAAAAATTTTCTTCTGCTGTTTTTGAAGAGCGTTAATAACTATTATGTAAAGCAAATCTTTGGCGACATTCTGTTTATTTTAGATTACATGGGCCACGTTTATCAAGTCCGTTATAATTATTTATTTAAGAAAAGCCGTGGCTTTTTGATTACGTCTACACGTAAAGTTACCGAAAATTTCAAAAAGCTGAATTTTCAAAGCAATTTGAACTTGGTTATATTGCATAATTATTGTTTATTAGCAATCAAGTTTTAATTCGCAGAAATTTCAAAAGCTTTCATGTTTTTGCTGCAGTTGCGTGTTTCATGACTTTGCCAAAAATCGAGACCTCCGAAGAAATAATTTTTTGAAGCTTAAAACAGCAGGTTAGGAGAATCTAAAAATACTACCTTGTAGTCCGAGAATTGTTTTATTTTTGCCATACTTAACCATCTCCGGAACATTGAAATGAAATTTTCAAAAATCAGCTTAACTTTGGGCACATAAAAATGACGGGTGAAGAATTCTAACAATTATCAAAAGAAGCATACAAGATTGTTGCACGGAAATGTAACCGTAAGAAAGAGAAGGAAGAGCTGCATCGAATGCATGTTAGAATTCATTCAGGTCTTTATTGCGCATAGTTTTATAGCGTTTTGAAAAAACCGACAAAACTTTCGGGACAACCTAATATTTCTTAAGGATACAGGAACGACGCAGCATCGCTTTTTTGAAAGCTTGAAAAATTTGTTTTTCTCGGTTTCCAGCAAAGAAACAAGCACAGCAACGGCGCATATGAATGTCTTATATGGAATGTTTATGCGTGAACACGTATGTGGTCTGGTATTTAAGTTTTCTTTGGACGGAGATATAAGAAGTTTCCAATTTTTCGGGCATCCAAAACTTCTCATATTTTGGCTTCTAACTCGTGATGTGCTGAAGCTGGTGCGAACAGTTACACGCCAACTTATGCAGCTTGCTTCGCTCTGTCGAACGGTGCCCTAATTCCTAATTAGAACTGAGAAATGTGTGACTTATTGCGGGAAAAAATCAAAGTTGATAAAAACTTATGAGACAACCTAATATAATCTCACGATAGAGTTTCTGTTTTGATTTATTTTTTTTTTCGAACAATCTTAAGAGCTAATCGAATGGGTAAATGAGTATTTTAAAATTGTAGTTTTCATGCTTAAATTTCATAACAGTTGATTTTTCTCTGAGTGTCTTGGTATTACGCATTTGGTGAGGAGATTGACTATTGAGATTGCGCTGTCAGATCTATTAGGTTGCCATGTGAAGTTTTTCCGCAGTAGTTTTTAGTCTCATTGTTTTTGTATCCTTAGCTATGCATAAACAATCTGTCCTAATCCCAATCAGGCCAAAGTTGGCATGGTAGGCGTACGCGTCGCCATGGATTTGCGTTACGACTTCGACTGCTTGTCTGCTCTCTTTTCATATCTTCGCTCTTTCGGACAGTGCGTATATGCGGGGCAAATCACAAGGGCTGCGAGCGCGCAGATTTAGCCAACGGTTCGGCTTGATCTTGGTTGGGACAGAGTGTACATTCGATTTGAAAACTTTTCTTGGATTATAATTCAAGCCAAAGGACTGAGGGCTAATGATGTTTTTTATTCTTGTGCAAGTTTTCATCGTGTGCGAGTTCAAAAAAGCGAGACTGATCACGTTATTTGACGCTCGGTGTATGTATCATAGAAGTCAAAGGTCTGAACAGTGCGAGATTCGCAAAAATTGAAAGTTATTGGAATCGTTGTTGTGAAAACGTACGATTTGGAAGATCATCATGTTTATTTAGGTGTTTGACGAAGCTATTCGTGCTGTGTTGTGTCCCCCACAAAAGCCCAAAAAGAATAAATGCACGGTTTTGTGAGTATGGATTGTTACATGGTTATGCGTGGTAACTGGTATCGAACCTCTATGGATATTTTTGATTATGTAGAGGTGTCCAGCAACGACTGCTCCATATTCCATGTTTTCTTCATTTACACTTCATCCGTTTGTCATTTCCTTGTAAAGTTATCTTGTTGGTGCAGCTACGTCGTCTGGGTCTTATCCCAGCTTTATATCACTGCCAACATTTCATCGAGTCGTTGCGTAGAGATATTATATGATACGTCCTTAATTTCGCTTCATTGTTGCGAAGGTTGATTCTGACCACACACCAATATCTAACCTTGGTTTCTCTGCGCATCATACCCCTGATTTTTGTTGCATGCGACTTTTAGAATTGAACCTGTTCTTGATTTTGTTTAGTCCTCTTTGGTAACGATTTCATTTATCCGAACCAAATGCCAAATATAGAAGCCACACATCCGTGCTACTTATCTAATTCGTTTGTCATTTGAGGACACAAGGATGTGCTGTGATAGGAAGTGCTCCTATAGGAAATTTATTTTGCATATGGCATTTGGGCATCACATTTGTTTGTATTGAGAATGATGCATACGCTGTAATTTGACTGAATTACGAATCGATGTTTATGAGCTAATACTGGATTATCGTTGCCTTTGATGTAGATTTACTGATTGCGAAATTCTTTTATATGAATAAACTTTTACGGTGCTTTTGTATCAACTTCGAAAGTAATGTAATGTCGTAGTGCCCTGCCGTTTTTCGTAGGATGTGTGTGCAATTCGCAGAGCAACTTCGTGAATGAGAAAATCAGCCTGATTCGATGGGGATGTACGTCAAGAGGCGCGATTTGATTGCCAGATGAATACCAAGTAGCGTATTTCTAATGTTTGATAACGTTCTGGAAGCCTTCCAAAATCAGTGAAAGTATAGAAGATAGTTGCATGGGTTGCTAAACCTTATTATCCTGAGACAGATTTCAAACATAAGTGACGGAGGTCAAAAACATTGTGAAAATGCAACGATATTTCGACCACTTTTTCACCGAAATCCTTCAAAATTAGCAAGTGATAACTTCAGATGGTTAGTAAGCGCAAAGATCTTGTCTGGTTTCCATAAAAGACGGGCTGTCCAATCGCTGACCTTTGGAGAAGGTGCGCCTCTTGACCGTCTCCCATTCGATGGAGTCGAAAGCAGTCAACAAAATTGTCTTGCCATTTTCGTGTCTCATCAAAATAGTTTTATAAAGCGGCAACGTTTGCATGGTAGCTCAACGCCGGGTTGTTTTTGCAGTTGTTATGCAATAAGCAGTGAAGTGAGATGTCATCATTATATATGGAACGGGAACCCAAAACAAAACCCTACTACGTTAATTGAAGGGGATTGTAAGTAAAAAACAGTTGATCTTGTGTACGGGTGGCGCACCCACTGATAGTGAAGTTACTAATGACAAGCTCGTCCTACTTCGCATACCTTATCAAAATTTGTAGTTCATATGAGTGCTAAATCTCCATGGGTGAAATACACAATGTTTGTAAATTAGATGCTCCCAGATCATTGATAACTCTATTGCATAAATGTTCTTCATTGCTCTCAGACGCCAGCCAGACTTCGCTCTAAAGTGCTCGAAAGCGCCCAAATTTTCCTGATCTTTCTTCCCTTTCTCTACCTCTCCTTCTGAACCAACAATTTTGAAAACTATTAGGTCGTTTCATAAGTTCGTCGACTTTTTATTTTTGTCGCCGTTTTTCGATGAAGCGGTTGGTTTACGGCAAAGTACCTATACCATTGAAAAGAGAAAATATTGCTCTACAAGAACTGTTGTTCGTTTTTCGAGCAAACTTGAATTCCCTTCTTTTACGTCTTATCAAAGCAAAATTTTTTGAGATTCAAAAATTGGCGATTTCGGCAACTGCACTTTCCGCATTTGGTCCGTATTCGCAAGATGTTTCTGTCATAGGCGGGATGGATAGTAGCAAGCAAGACTGAAACACTGACAAATTTGCAGCATGCCAATATGCATAGAACCGTTTGAACAAGGTCCCAATGGTTGTTGTCTTTGACTGCTGCCGCTTGAGTTTGTCGCGTTGTTCAGCGACACAATGTGTCGGTCCTCCTATCGGAACTTGAGGAATGGATGTGTTCTTCTAAGTGGTGTAGATGTATGAGTACAAGCTCTGGCCAACATTTTACGCTTTCTCAAAAAATTTTTTGACGTGTTAACTTCTTCAAATTGTGCCAAACGCAAAACATCTACACACATGGTAAACTGCGCTTAATCTTTCTTTATAGCTTCTCTTTGGATATGGAGACTACTTTTATATGCACCGCAGTACCACAAACAGTTGTTTCTCATCACTCATAACAACTTCAGACGAAAAATTCCCACTTGTGGCTCCGTATACAGATCGCAGGCTGCAGGTGCCGAAATCGCCAATTTTTACCTCTCAAAAAATTTTGCTTTGATAAGTCGTAAAAGAAGGGGATTCAAGTTTGCTCCAAAAACGAACAACAGCTCTTGTAGAGCAAGATTTTCTCTTTTCAATGATGTAGGTACTTTGCCGTAAACCAAACGCTTCATCGAAAAACGGCGACAAAAATAAAAAGTCGACGAACTTATGAAACGACCTAATAAATCAGCATAGATTTTGGCCAGATCTCTTGCAAACTCCCACCCCGGCATCAGCCCTCATCTCTGACGTTTCTACGTAGGAGATGAGAGCTTAAGTAGTTCCTAATCTCTTAATCATTTTTTTTATTTTTCTCATTTTTTTCAAATCAGACGATGAGTTTGAGTTTTGTATCTTTATCATTTTAATCAAAGATAATAATTCTTTGTCTAACATCTACCTGATCAATATCTAACATCTACATCATCTATATTTAGTCAATTTTCTTGCTTAATTCCGCGAGCCATGATTACCCGAGCCGTAAAAAAGCGGATTTTTTCGACGCGATCTCTCTATATCGAGTTCAACTCTCTAGACTGAAATCCCGCGATTCGTGTATTCCGCGAGCTGTGATTTCCTGGAGCCGTGATATCCCGGAGCCGTGATTCCGTAAGCCGTGAACCACTTTTATGCTTTTCTTTGCCATTTATCGATTTCATTATTTATTTCTTTGATCCCCCTTCTTTGGGCGCATACAAAAACTTATAACCTTACTCTGCATCAAATCTTTACATCAACGCATTGCACATAATTTCGTCCGTTTCCAAAAATGTTTTGCTAATTTTGTAGGAATTTGTCAAACAACTATCATACGGGCGGTTAATTTGCCGAACAGAACCATTTTACCTAGTTATTTTTTCAAAGAAAAGATGTTCACATCTATGATGGCGTGATCTTCATGAAAGCAGCAATTACATCCATAAACCCATATTTTAATTTTCAGGGCTTCAAACTCGACAGCAAGCTGCTTCTTACCTAGCGCGTCGTTTTCTAAAAGAAATTTCTTTTCGCATTCTGCATTTTTTGAGGGTTGATTTTTTCAGAAGTTGATATAGTTCCACAGAAAGAAAATTTGAGTTGCGGAACCTTTATTTTTTCGAGCGAATAATTTTTTGAAGACAAGTCGAATTTAAAACAATTTGCTCTCTTTGCTATCTGACAGTTGAAAATGCATACTGACCATCACACAGACATGGCAGATCAGATCATTACAATTTTCAACAACTTAGTGTAGCTGAGAAAGCTAAGGCGATTCACACAAAACTATATAATACTTGGCCTAGTCACTTTATGTTCTCCCAAATAGGATAGAAGGAGTGATGGAATCTGAACCAAATTTGGCATCATGTGTATGTGGTGGGGCGTGTGTTAATAAGCCTTTTTGTTCGTGACATATGGCCTGCCCCTATCGATTTATTGATTTGTTGCAGTTTTTGCTTAGCGAATTTTTTATGTTCGATCAAAAAGGTTAGAAGGAGTTCTTAAAGGCAGCGTCCTGGCAAATTTGGACCCATGGAGCTCTCACGTGGAAAGTAATCTTGAGGCCCTAAATAAGACTCTGCCCAAGCGGCAGCTTAGATAGGCACTCACGGCTAAGATATTTGGCTCCAAACTATGCCCCGTGACTATTCGCACAGATTTGTGGCGCTTCCGCGCGAGGATCCACGCGAACCTGATGTGCCGAGCCACGAATCCATGCGAATACGGTCAGGGGCATAGTTTGGAGCCCAATATCTTAGCCGTGAGTGCACTGTATGAACTGCCGCTTGGGCAGAGTCTTATTTAGGGCCTCAAGATTGCTTTCCACGTGAGAGCTCCATAAATCCAAATTGGCCTGGACGCTGCCTTTAATGTATGGGGTGGAACATGTGTTAATAAGCCTTTTTGCTGGAGCACACGGGTTGCCCTATTGATTTATTGATTGTTTGCTTAGCAAATTTTTGCTTAGCAAATTTTTCCAGCCCTTTTAACTTACTTAGTTTGAAGCCGCATGTGTTCTGAACATCAAAGGATAGCATAGGCTACTTTTCGCTGCAGTTTGCTGCGCATTTGTTTTAATTATTCGGATTCGAAGGAAGATGTCTTATCAGCAACTGCAAATTAGTTTCACCAGGCTAGGCAAGAGGGGTATAGCTCATTTCATTTACGCCTTTAATTGACGAGAGGCGTGTGTCTATAAGTTATTTTGTTCAAAACGTACCCATTGCTTCGGTCGATTTTATAAATTTTTGCAGTTTTTGCAAAAAAATTTCGTCGGCCCAAAATGTTTGGGAAACATTATGGGGTCTGAACCGAACTTCGCATATATGAGCTTCGGGGCGGACGTGTCATTAAGCTTTTATCAAAACAATCCATTGTCGCTTTTGATTCATTGACTTTCGACGTTTTTGCTTTTGTTATAGATAACTGGCCCAGAATGCTAGAGAAAACTATGAAATCTGAACATTCGCATACATAAACTTTTGAGCGGGTCTTTTGTTAGTAAACTATTTCCATTAATATAAGATAGATCGACTTACTAATTTTTTCTCACTTTATGCAGTAGTTTCTTTTACTTTACGCTTTTGAGGCTAAAAATTGGCGGGAAGTAAAGGATAGGTAGGCATGGTTATTACAAATACAATATCTATACTTACTTACTTAGATATAGGCTGCTGCATGACGAAGGTGCAATATTTTTGGGCGCGAACGCGGTTTTATTAGCCGGAAAGCGCATGAGGCGCAGGATTTACAACGATGAAGATATGCGCGCACCGCGTTCGCGTCCGCTTAACTAACTGTGCTTCTGCGCCTTCGTAATGCAGTAGCCTTTACTTAGATGACCCGGCTTCACGTGACGTGCGGGCCTCAACACAGAAGTTTCCATTTGTCCCTGTCCCTCGCTTCAAACATTCACGATTTTCCTGGTTGTCGTCGGTGGCTGCATCCACGAGTTCCAGGTGCGGTAATCGTATCCAGCTGATTTTTCAGCTGGTCCATCCGTTCCACGAACACGTCTGCCCATCTTACCTCGGGAACGTCTGGCTTCGCGAGAAATCCATTCCGATGTTCTTAATGTCCATCTGTCGTCTGTTCTTCTGATTATGTGACCGACCCATCGGTGTTTCGCGTTCGCTACGTATTCCGCTGGGTCACGAAGACGGGAAATTCCTTTCATATCCGCATTGCAAAGTCCGATTAAATTTAGCTTGTGTCGGGTCATCTTCAGAAGACTGCGTCCGAGCGCTCTCTCGGTGGTCCGTAAAGCTTCCACGTAGCTACAGTGTCAGCCTAGGTCTCAGCTGCGTAATGGAGCGCCGGGAAAACGGTCGAGTCGAATAGGTGGGCACGAAGCTCCGAGTCGTCAGTTGGTCATTGGCTTCCTTTAGAGGCCCGAAGGCGGCCCAGGCTGCTCTTCTCCTGTTAAGTTCTTCCCTCAAGTCGTTCTCCATGTTCATCGAACGTCCGAGATACACGTAAGAAGACGTCTCCGTAATAGGGGTGCCTTCTAGTTCCATTTCTGCATCTTCGCAAAGGGCGTTCTTCATGAACTGGGTCTTCTTCTGATTTATTCGCAGTCCAATCTTCTTTTCTACTTCGTTTAGTTCCTTCAGCATCGTCTCTGCTTTAGTGATACTGCTTGAGAACAGAGCGATGTCGTCCGCAAAATGAAGTTTCGACAGGAATCTCCCATCTATGCCTTCTCGTCCCAGTCCAGTGACTTCATCACCCACTGCAAGGCCGCGGTGGACAGCGAGATTGTGTCGCCTTGACGAACCCCCTTTCCAACTGGAATGGTCAGGGGCGATGGAACAGCTGCATCGTCGTTGTACGTCCTCATAGCAGTCGGCTAATGTCCTCACGTAAGCTGGGCCCACTCCTTGATCGACGAGCGCTGACAGGATGGCGTTGGTTTCGACGCTGTCGAAGGGTTTCTCTAGTCGACGAAGGTTAGGACGAGGGGCAGTCGGTACTCCCGGCAGACTTTCATGACCCTCGAAACCGTCTAGATGTGGTCTATGCAGCTGAATTCTTTTCAAAATCAGCTTGTTCTTGGGATTGGGCTTCATCCAGTGTCCTGTATATGCGAGCGAGGATTATCTTCGTGAAAAGCTTGTACAGCACACTCAGCAGGCATATTGGACGATAGGTATATAATCCTTCCGTTCCTGAAATCCTGAAAGGAAGGACGGTTCTTGACGTTCTCCACTGGTAGGGAATTCTTTCCTTTTGAAAGTAAGATGTCAGATGCGACGCAAAAATCTCGTGTAGACGTTGTCCTTCGGCTCGCAGAAATTCGACGGAAAGGTGGTCTGGTCCTGAAGTCGTAGATGTCTTCATGGTCTGAATCGCTGCGCGCACTTTAGCAGAAAGAATTCGTGGTGGTACTTCTCCAGTGGGAACAACGGCCAGTGACACTGGTGTTAATGAGCAGAAGAGGTTGGTGTACAAGTTCTTTGCGATAGATTCTATCTTGTATCGGGAAGATATCGGAGTCCCGTCTTCGTTCAATAGTGCAGCCAGCGGCACGTGAGATTCGCGGGGGCGTATCGTTACGTGCGGGCTGCCAATTGGAAAACGTCGCGCGCGACAGGCTGCCAGTGACCGCACTCGGGGAATTCAGCCAGCATGATCCGCAGCATGTAGAACACTAACAATATAACCAGGGTAAAGCGGGGGGTGCGGCACGCCGCAGGGTGGGGTCGTAAGGGGGGGGGGGTAGGTAGGGGGGGGTCGTATCGACCCAAGGTCAAAAGCGGTTTCTAAGGGGAAATGACTGCAGCTAAGTTCCTAGATGTGCCACGCTGTTGAAATCCTGCAAAATTCAAGTTCAACGACACAAACTTGCAGATACCGTATGCCTACCGTAACCTACCGTACCTCTAATCAAGCATAATTGTCGTAATCCGCGTGTCGAATAACCCCTATGCGCCATGTTTCAGCGAACTCTGAGGTCTCCGAGCAGTAAACAACCTTGTATAAAGCAGTAATTTAAAACATGATTAACTTCATCTTAAAGGTGAGTAAGCTACCTCTTCTTGCACTCAATACAAAGCACTACTCCTTCTTTGTCCACCTCAGGAAATCCCGCTTCAGAAGACCTCCAAACTATTGAATTAGAAGCCAACCAAAATCGCTTTTAGCTTTTGATCGCTGTGCTTTCACCGAATATTACTCAGAGCTAAGAAGACGAATCAGGCTCAAAACATCCCTATGGAATCTATGAGGTTTAGGCTATTGATTCATATAAATATTGTCCGCTAAAAATGTTTTTTTGGTATAGTTAATGGCCTGCGGCACTCCCCCTCAAAACCTGCGGCTGCCGCAGGTTTTGAGGGGGGGTGCCGCAGGCCATTAACTTACCTTCAAACCGTTCAAACAGCTGCCTTTTTCATATCATCCTATAGATTCATCCTTCCTCTCTCCGTAGTAGCTGTTTCCCCTTGAACCTTTTTCTTTAGAAGGAAATACATATGGTTTTTGCGAACCATATGCTGGGAAGGGTGGCCAAAAAATATTGGGTTACGGTAGCGCTCGAAAGTTGTCAAAACACACAGAGGCGCGAGATACGCGCCTTTGAATCCCACTCTCGTTATGAGCTGTGATGTTCTCGCCTTTTTGTTCTTTTTCATCACTTGTTTCTCTCATTGTTCTTTCAGAAAACTTCAGCCCTATTTGTTATGCAGTGTTACAGGTGTTGTTCCATTACTAACAACAAAACAAGTGTATTGGAAAGGATTTTTTGAAGAGTTGTTTGGTACATAAAAGGAAATACAAACAGCTATCGTCTTTCCGAGAAGAACGAAGGTTTGCGAAGGTTTTTTTTCAATGCTTGCATATGATCAATCCTTTTTCTCTTATTAATATCAACTTTCAACGATTGTTATCAATTTTTACGTTGCCTCAGCCCGAGCCTCAGCTTTCAGTCGGAGTGTGACCATAGCTTGAATCCTATCCGTTTAAAGATTTTATCCAAATTTAAAATTTCAAGAATACACACAGCGGCCGCACCAGCACATGTCCACTATGTGCATATCATGTTCGCTCAGGCTGGTCCCAAAATAGCGAACAAACACTAGCGAAGATGGTGAAGCATCTGAGAAGTCATGAAGGAGAGGTGAGTACGATCCTTTGGATTAAATTCTAACTCTCTGCTTTTTAGTTGGATAGCTCACAAAAAGTTGCTTGTACTCTTTGCTATAACTTCTTCTCTAAGTCTGAGTTGGATAATCATTACAGAGAATGTCATGGTGGTGGGGATTTCGAGTTTTGTTTACTGAGTAAAAGATGGTGTGAATAATGATTTTAGAACAACCAGAATTTATCGAGAGTGACGTACTCTATTTTACGAACTCTGTACACCGCCAGCAAGGATTAATAAATACATACACACAGTAAGTGATTTTGTTATTGGATTTATCTCGGTCTTTCTTTTACAGGGCTTTGAAAAGAAATTTGTTAGCTGATAAGCGTTGTATACCTGCTGACCTGTTCAGGGGATATCCCACCAAAAGAAGCAATGGTATTACATATTGCTGCTGCGCTATGCCAGTTTAATAGTAAGGTTTTCAGAGAATTTTCGTACTTTGTGACGTCGAAAGTTTGAAACATCGTCGCACCCGAAGTTCCTCTTCCGGTTCAAGATTCGGCCAAGTTCGTCGACTCCTATCACATGGTAATTTTTTGTGTTTGACCTATAAGTGCGTTCTATTTTGCAAGCTCTAGATACTCATCGTCGTACATGAAACGGCCAAAGTGTTATGGTATGTGTTAAGGGCATGTCCGCTTTGTACGAGCTCGAGTGTATGTGGATATTCCTCATTTTCCAATGACATTTCCGCGCGACTGTTCATACTTCGCCATTTTTCGATATCACATCATGATTTGGAGAATTTAGCCACAAAGGTGCAACAAGAATGGTTTGTCGATGATACTTCTTAATTCTCTTTTGTATTTTTACGCATCAAAATCAATGGAACTTGGTCTTTCTTATGCAGTGTCCAGAAAGATTTTTTCCAGGGAAATCCTCACTAAGGAAGTTGGCTTTGACTTGAAATCACATGCAGTGAGCAGCGTTGAACTGTTACAACATAAAGAGAGGTATGCTGTTATAACAAGTGAAATTTGAGTCTTCTGTCGTTTCATATCTTTATTTTAATTAATTTGATTTTCTTCATAAGCTGGCTTCCTTTCAGAAGCTGTCATTTTTACGTCTTGAGAACATTAGAGGATAGATATTGCAGTCGTTTGCTACAGGAAATGATTGCGAGATGTATAGATAAAGTAAGCCGACTTTTTCAGCTGACTGTTCAGTTATCGAACTTCAGAAAGAACTAAGCACATCTGAATACTCTATCTGCGCCGTTTGTTCCACTCCCGTCCTGACGCGTTCACTATTCAGACATTTTTCCACGGGAGAGCACAGGAAGATGAATGTGTAAGTTTCGTCAAGTTGAGTGCTGTTTTCTTCCAAGTTTACCTCATTAAGGCACGATGGATTGTCAGAATTCCGGGAGGTTCCTGAAATTGCTGAATCTCCCACTGTAACGGCTGTAAATTTTCCATATTTATCACTTCGATATTCCAAAGTATTCAAAATCAAGGTAAATGAGCTGTCACTTTTGAAGTTGTTTCGCCAATTTTAAAAACTTTCCGTCGTGCTTCATAACTTTTTCCCGTTTTTTTAGGAACTGGGAGATGCTGATTCTATGACCCTTTTGAAATGGCGTTGTTGTCTTGCTAGCGAGATTGCAGGGCATGTGGATGACGTCTTGGAGTTTCCGACTACTCATCTCAATTTCTGGACCATATTGTCTGCCATGGATACATTGACACTGGGTCAGTTTTCAGTAGATTATATGTGGTCATTGTGGTACACAAAATCTATTGCAACAGGTTGTTTAGACACGGTTTGTCAAGTTGCACTAGGAGAGAATTTTTTACACTCTCAGGATCACGTTTGTCTAGAAAAGTGGGACATCTTGATCATGTCGTGAGTCGCTGATTTTCGGTACACTACTTGTTTTCACTACATAGAACCATTTTTAGGAAAGTCTAATCCCGAATAAAATTCTTGGTTCGGTAGGAGAAGAAGCGCTTTCTTCTATTATTACAAAAACGAAACCCAGAACATCTCAAGAAGGTAGCGAAGAACTTACTAAGATTCGCTCATCATACCTATTTAGATAGCAACGTCATCTACACTACTCCACGATCTAGCACTGAAGCTTCAGCGTGTCAGCAGGCAGGAATTGTATATCGCTATTGCTATCTCTGATGCTATACAGCATTTAGCTGGAATGAAGGACAGCAAGGTATGTATCAATAGCAAGTCGCTGCTATTACGGTCAGCTAAAAAACCATTTTTCCATGTTGCTAAATTCATTTCTCTTTTATTCAACACAAGAACAGCTTTTTTGAAGTCATCTTTTTTGAGGTTGAGGATTAACAAGAATCCCGATGGGCCAATCTTCCAGGTAAACGTCTACCTTCTTTATATATATCTAGTTCGCATTTAGAGCATGAAAAGGATGCATAATTTCTGTTGGCCATTTTAAATGTTTGGCATTTCTTCCAGGTGTCTGATTTTGGTTTGAAGGCAGATCTATTCAAGGCCGTTCCAGAGATGATTGCAGCTTTATGAACCAAATTCGCTCAATCTTTTGCAGGCATTTTATTTATTCTTGCTTTCTTCCTACCCTCTCATAAAGTGTCTTCTTAATAAAATCATATGAAGCTTATGCTACAGCAATGACAATACACCAAGAATAGTTTCACCATTTTATCGATCTTCAACAACTTGAAAACTCTGAGAAAAACCCGAGATCGCATGAAGCTAGCGACACACAGCACTATTTACGGTCTTACATTTCAATAGGCTTATGGGGTGGAGGGAGGGGGGGGGGTAGGGAATGGCGGGGGGGTCGTGCCGAGGTCCGGCCCAAGGGGGGGGTCGTATCCAGCGGTCGCGTGCCGCACCCCCCGCTTTACCCTGAATATAACACAGTGGCGTACCCAGGATTTCCGCTCGGGGGGGGGGGAGGCGCGACAAAAATTTTTTTCGAATGGAGGTGCGTGGCGTCAGCCACGCACTCCGAAAAAATTTTAGGGGTGCTTCTCAAAATTTTTGCGGGTCCCCAACCCCTAAAATCTGGAAAAAGGGGGCGTGGCGTCAGCCACGCCCCCGAAAAAATTTTTTTTACAGGGCTAATTTGAATTTTTGAAAATTTTTACAAATTATTTTAATTATTTACAAGTATAAACAAGTCATTTGCACATTTTTATAACCCATATAAGTAACTTTCAAAAATTTCGCGACCCATTCTCGGGGGGGGGGGCGCCCCCCCCCCCGCCCCCCCCTCGGTACGCCACTGATTTAACAATATATTATAGAAGAAGCATTGGTAATCTAGTGCTATAACTCTGACAAGTTTTCTACACTGCGGTTCCCCCGCGCAATTACTGCAACGCCGCTTTGCGACGTTTTCCATTTGGCAGCCCGTACGTAACGAGCGCCCCCCCCCCCCCCGCCGAGATTCGTAGAGGTCCCTTCGGCACTTCCTAAAGGCGGCGGCTTGGCAGATTTTCAGCTACGGGGTTTTGGCAGATTTGGGGCTATCCGGCCCCCTGAATCACGGCATGAACTCTCCTTAGCGCTAAAAGGGGAAAACCCCGTCTTTTGAAATCCCCTTGAGACGGGTGCGGACGAGTGAGAAAGTTTGCTCTGCCGTCAGAGACGCAGAGTAAGGAGGTAGAGAGCAGGGTTGAGCAAGAGGTCAGGCACAAGTCTTTCCAAAACGACCCCCCCCCCCCAGTGAGAGCCCCCAAACGACCCCTCTGCTTCACCTCCAGGACCTCAGGCTGTGATAATTCGAAGAGATCAGCCGTTTTTGGGAGTTCTTGTTTTTTGGAGGTCTCTAGGTCGACTTTCTGCGATTGCACAGCACACGCAACTTGACGGCAAGTTTTGGATTTTGGATAGCCCTACTTTTAGAGCTATAATTCCCACAGGGGTGTATTGTTTGGCTCCAAATTTGCAGTATTGCAAGAAGAGGCTTTGAGTTCAATACTCATAGCAGAAATGGAGCGATTTTTAGATTTTAAAAACAAGTTAATCGGGTCAGGCGCAACCCCTCAAAAGCTCAGGCGGCCTGACCTTTTGTGGGGTTGCGCCTGACCCGATCAACTTTATCATTGAAGAAGCTTTTTTATTCAAGTTTTATGTGAATCGCTAGCACAACCCTCGAAGATTCCACAGTAAGTGTTTGGACTTGATTCGACTTGTTTCGGTCTTGTGGTAATCCGTGGAGTTAAAGCAGTCATGGCGAAAAACGCGCCGGTCGGAATTTTGGCATTATTTCTTACTCCACTATATGCAAACGATACAAAGCGCGATTTTTAGCCTAGACTAGTGGGGAACAATACTTTGTTACGAGTACAAAAAATTGACTTTTCTCACTTTTGAAAACAAGTTAATCATGTTTGAAAATCACGCTTTTTAGTCGTTGAGAAACACTAGATAATGCAGTAAATAATGGTTTGTAGGTCTCATAGAGGTAATTTGACGTGCTCGGAAATGACACCCATTTCACACAGCAAGCTTCCTTGACGAATTTATAATATGTCAAGGTAGAAGATCAAGATTTGAGTTTTGGCCGAAACTTCCATTGTGAAATCAATCAGTATGCTGTTTAAACCGTTCATTCCTTCAGTACTGGTGAGGTTGCGATATCCACTAAACTAGCGCTTTTCTTCTTCACCTTAATCGTAGTATCTCCTCAATCGAACGAATTCGATTCCTAATCACGACCCCCCCCCTCTGTCTTACCCCAGTACGACCCCCCCGGTCGGGCGCGCCTGACCCCACGCTCAACCCTGGTAGAGAGCGCTAGAACAATTCTGCCCTACGAAGCTACTAGTGATGGCGTGTTTTCTAGCGGCGAACATACTCGTCCGCACTGGGTGTTAGGGGAGCGGAAGGAGGAAGGGGATCGGAGCCTAGCTCACCCCCCTGGCTTGCGGAATCCACATTTTCGGCCCGGAGTCGCTCTTTTGGTTCACTTGAAAGGCCTCCTATCCATATCAAATTCTGAGGTAGTAAAGGCAGCGTTCAGGCAGACCTGGACCTATGGGGATTTTACGTGGAAAGTACTTTGGGGCCCTAATTAAGGCACTGTCCAAGCGGCAGCGCAGTTAGTGCTCTAACGACTGAGATATTCCCCTCGAAACTGGACCCCGCGATCGTATTCGCATAATTTTGGCAATTTCGCGCCAGGATCCACGCATTCCGCCATAAATCCATGCGAAATAAGATCGCGGGGTCCAGTTTCGAGGGGAATTTCTCAACCATTAGAGGAGCACTACCTGAACTGCCGGTTGGGCAGTGGCTTAGCTAGGGCCCCAAAATTACTATCCACGTGAGGTCCCCATGTGTCCAGACTTGCCTGGACACTGCCTTTAAGACTTCGTCTTCCTTCGGCTGCTTCCAGTATCTTGGCTTGTCTGTACTTCCTGAGATCCACCCTGCAAAGCTGTTCTGCAACTGGCGTTGGCTCAGTCGATCGAGATGGATTGCATTCAGATCCCGCCTCATAAATCTTTTTCTTTCGAGCGATTCCTTAGTGGTTTTCGAAATGCGTTCCAAGTTCTTTTCAGAAGCACTCTCCGCAGGCTCGCAATCCTTTCAGAAGCCGGTCGTAGTCGTACGTTGGGTCCTCCTCGGTGGCCCAGTCACAACTTGATATGAGCTCTTCCAGCCTTTCACCGTCATAAACGAAATTCTTCCTTCCTGCGGTACTGTGACAGACTTTCTTTTCCAGCCTGCGACTGAATCGTATCTTCGCTTGAAGGAGGCGGTGACTGGAGCCACTGCAGAAGGATGAAACTACTGAGACATCGAGCAAGCTCCATCTTCGGTTGATGAGAATGTGGTCGACCTCCGCGTGAGTCGTTCCGCTGGGCGACTCCCAAGTCCACCGGCGATGTTCCTTCTTCATGAAGATGGAATCACCATGAAAAAGTTGTGCGGCGGAGAGAAGCCCAAAGACGGTTGCCGTTTCCGTTCCGGAGCCCATATCCAAACTTCTAGATCCTATATTCCTCTTCTAGTGGTATCCCGATATTCGCGTTGAAGTCGCCCACGACGAACTTGTAGAAGGGGTCCCTTTGCGGACAACCTGCTCCACGTCTTCGTAGAAAGCATCTAGTTCTGAATCGTCCTTTTGACGTAGAGGCGTAGTCGTGGTGACAGAATCTCATGCGAATCGAAAAGATGGACGATAGATGGGTGGACGACCATGCCACGCCTCCAACATTTCGTGATAGAACCTTTTCACGACGAATGATGAGGATCTCATCACTCATCTGTTGCACGTCCGCTTCCTGGACTTGGTTTCCTTCAGAGCGATGATGTGGTAGTTGATGTGCTCTGCAGCGTCTAGAAGAACGTGGAGATCGGCGATTGTGGAGACTGTTCTGGCGTTGTAGGTGCAGAGCATGAGACAGTCTCCATGCCGTCCGGGCAGACGTGTCTTTTTGTTCAATCCAAAAGACGCCCTGAAGATCTTGACATCGTTCTTGCTACCACCCGGCGCCATAGGCGGGATCCGATGTGCGGGGTTTCTTTCTATTTTTCTAACTGGAGGAGTGATGAAATTTTTCCCCTACAAGAGCAGACTTACTAGGTCCACTCTTGATTTCCACCGCGATTACTGACCCCGGGTGGAGCGGAGAGGACCGCCTAGCGACCGGAAAACCAGACGGCGGAGGATCTGGCATGGCCATCCCTTTTAGCTAGGCATCCGGCCGAGACCGGAAACGTCGAACTCCTTCACAGCTTGGCTTGGGAGGCCCTGCCAGAATATACGCTCCGCTGTGCATCGTAGTTCGAAACCCAGTGTCACCCCCACGTCACGATGAAGCGGCCGACCATTGTGGAGGGAAAACATGGTAGGGGCCAGAAATTGCCTTATAAAACTGGGACAGGGGTGAAAATAATTTTGTGTTCGTATTGACAGGGACCAAGTGAAGCCGGGCATCCCAGATGTTAGATTGAAGATTTAGATAGCCAGCTATCTGCTCATGTACAGAAAAGGAATGTAAAAACATTGAAGAAGGAACGGAAAAGCGGCCGCAGTCATGCAAGTTATTTCTATACCAGAACAAAAATTTCATCATCAGCAACTTTTGACTGTTTTGGGTCATAGGTATACTCCAGTGACAAGGGAAAAATAATAAAAGTAAAGAAGATCGAAAATCAACAAAGAATCAAAGGGAAGTTGTGTATTTCATGACATATGATATGGTAGGAGCACGACAAGTACCAGCAGTTTCCTCCCTTGAACCCACCGTACCTCGTAATTGGATTGATGGTTAGATGCCGGTGGGTGAGAGATTGATTGAGGTTGAGATCGTGCCAAAAAAAATTCGACAAAATCTCGGAATTAATTCGCGACAATATCGACAGGCCATTCTTCGAGCAATAAAATTTGGATTCAATGAGATTGTTGGTATTTTTTCGACTTCCACCTGATTCGTGATACCAATTGAACCGTCATACCTGAAAAGTTACGGTTTGATTGCTGTGGGGATCTACAGAAGCCGCGCAAAGCTTTTATAACGTGAGCACGGATTAGCGGCGAGTTG